AGCAGGGGGATTTTATTACTTGTTACAATCCCAACTTGGAGTGCCCAGCCAAACATGAATGTATGATTGTTACATGATGAAAATGAATTTAAAAAACTTAATGCTGAAAGCTGGTAACATGCCAAGAAGCATCAGTTTTATGCACATTGCCAGGTGTGGCTGGGCACTCTAATTTGATGAAGGTGCTACCACTTCTCAAGGTTCTTGTGGTGCTCAATGCCCTTCCATCCCCTAACAGAATTGAAACATTTTCACTTTAGCTCCTTGCCAATTTTTTTGAATGATTCCAAGTTGAAATTTTTGACAGGGCTGTGTGCACAAATATGTTCTTAAAAATTAACTTTTTTTTCAATTATTCAATTAGTAATGTTGAAAATTGATCAAGCTAAAAATCAAGAAGTGAAAATTTCCCCTCCCCCCCCTTGATTTTGGAACTTTTTTCAAAAATGTTTTTGCATTTTTGTCTATAGCCCATTCAATTTTAAAGATTTTTCAAAATTGCAAATAGTGAGATTTACAAAACATCTGGGCGCTTGCAACATTGGAGGAAATTTTTTAATTGAGTTGAAATTGAATTTTAAACACATTTTGTAATTTGGCAAAATGGGAAGAAACACATATCCAGGAATTAAAACTTTTCTGTTTTAGCTCATTCTAACTTTTGGGATTTTGGTGAAATTTCAAACTTTATGGCAGGGTTACATGCGCACAGATGTTTAATGATTTTACATATTGAATGAGTAAAAATTCCAAGTACAAAATTTTTTTCCCCGATTTTCATACGATTTTCAAAAACGTGTTTGCGTTTTTGATTCTATCTCATGCAATTTTGAAGTTTTTCAAACCTTTCAAAAAATGAAATGTTGGAAACTTCATTGCCCACATAACCCCTGAAAAAATTTGGACATTGCTCAATAATTGAAATTTTCACTAATTTTCAAAGTTAGCAAAACAGGAAACCAAATTTTCAAAAATGTCTGTTTTTCAGTTTAGCCCATGATAACTTTCTTGTTATTAGTGGAATGTTAGTCATATTTTAGGGGTGATTGCGCATGGATGTTTTGCGAATTTAAGGTATTTTTTGCATGGAGCAAAACCAAAAAATTGAAAAGCTAAAATTAAAAATATAAAAGTATTTTTTCCCATTTTATCCCCGTTTTTGAAAAACGTTTTGTGTTTTTCATTGTAACTTTGTCAATTTTAAAGATTTTTTAAAATTTAAAAAATGGAAATGTAGGAAACATCATGGCGCTTCTTATGAAGTTTTCAAAATTGATTTTGGTTGATAATTCAATTTTTCACAAATTTTCAAACTTTGAGAAACAGGAAACGGGACCCTCCTGCAGGTCTCTCTGGGGCTCTGTGGGAGGGAGGCAAGGGGCAGTAAGGAAGGGAGGGCTGGTGAAAATTAAAAAAACTGCGAACTGATGACGGCAAGCAACTTTATAATAGTAGATATTACGTTGACTAACTTATTCGTGATATTGCATTACGTTATTATTGAAAATTTGCAGGAAAAAGCTTTTGTGAAACCTGCGATGTGAATCGGCAGTTTTCTGTACAGTACTTAGTTTATATACGGTAATTTAGACTTTAGAACATCCCTTAAAATGTTCTCAGTCGCGAGAATATTTTGCATAAGTTAATGCAATCTGTATTTGAATGCTTATCAAACTGAATTTATTTTGGACCAAGCCATGAAAAGAATTTTGAATTAAAGTTTACATTTATATGAATGGTTTCAAGATTTGATCGTGGGTATGTCTCATAATCGCGCTAATACAGGATTCATCGGAAACTTCAGCGAAACACACTCAAAATGATTCCACTTTGAAAACGGTTCATTCGTTTCTCTAAAACACGTTTGCATGTCAATTGTTCCCGTAAACCAAACGGTGGTAATGCGGGAGAACATCACTAACAGAAGACAGGAGCGAAAACTCGAGCGTCACAAACAACAAGAACTCAGTATCCAAAAGATCCCGTCTTTGAACACGGAAAGTTTGCACAATGCGCTCTATAAGATGATGCAAATCTCCACCCCGGACATCGTTCAACTTTGCAGACAGCAACAGCGCAGCTCCAGCTGCCAACTTCCTATTCTGCTTGTTGACAAATTTCTTAAAGACAGCCTTTTCGAAATACACGAAAGCCTGGGCCAGAGTCCCCAAGTCCAGACTGCAATCGTTCACGGCAATCCTTCTCAACTCGCGCTTCAAGCTCCTCAGTTTGCTCAACGTCAGTTGAATATTCGGGAATCTGTCCCTGAATTTCTCGTTGAGTTCTTTCTTGAGATTCCCCGGTAGAACGTATTCGATGACTGATGTTCTGTAGGAAGGGAAAGTGAGCAGAGTGCGATGCCTTCCGGCTATCAACTCGGGGTCATCCAAAGCACCGACATCGTATTCCTCCACGGAATCCCGCCTGGGTTTCGTGGGCTCCAAATACGAGCTGTACGAAATATCCCGTTCATCCTGGCCAGAGAACCTATGCCCGCGAAACGGCGGCACTTCATACGCATCCGAAATCGTACTCAAGCCCGACATGTGTCGCTTTTTCGCATCCCGCGGATCAACAGCCACAGTTTTGTTCCCTTTGATGTAAGGCAAAGAAGAACAAACCACAGCCGGTGCACGGGAAGTGCCGCACAGGAACACAAAGCGATTCTCGCACATGTTCACTTGGGATCCGTTGCTCGTACTAGAGCCCTGATCTTCGGCAATCGGAGAGTCGATGACGCGGGAAAGTGGGGACAGGAAGCGGACGAGGCGTCTGTCGGATTTGTGGGAAACACTGGCGGAGTCTGAGTGACTTCCGGAACGATGACGTCGACGAGCATTTTCCCAGTCTTCGAGTTCCACGTTTTCGTTGCTCGCGACGCGCGGTGCTGTCGGTTTGCAGAGAGCAGTGGCTGACGTGCTGACGAGCTTCTTGCCCAAGCGTTCCTTCAAGGATTTCTGACGACCCGCGATGTACATTTGCCCTGTGATACAGTAAAACGAAAATGATTCATCAAGGAATTGGCAAGGGAACATTTGGACACTTGAATATCGAGCAAATAGTGGCAAACAACACAATGAACATCACGCTTTTTTCTTCCATTAGTTCTGACGACGATCCTAGTTTATCAGACGGAATTCATGGAAAACAGAAAGAAACGTCAGCGATGCATCAAGTACAACGGGGCCCCGACACACGGACGATTCGAATTAGGGACACTTCAAGACTCAAAAATATGCCCGAAATCCAAAAATGTCCCGAGATATGGACACTACGCCAAAATTTCTAGAAGACGGGAAAAATTGCATTGTATTTCAAAATTGTGATATCTCTTGAACAAGTTGAGCGATTCATGCTCACAAAAACAAAAAAAAAACAATAATGTGGGGATTATAAATTCAGTCGAATTTACAATCAAAACAAGTTAATTGTTTTTTTGAAGTCTTTCTATCAATTGAGCACAGTATAGCAAGACTATTGTTTTTTCCGTGCTTCTTGGGCTCATTTGATCGGATAGATCAGATTCTGGGTAGTTTTTTCAGCACAATTATTTTCTGTACCTTGAAATAAAGAGAAAAATGTGTTCGGGAGACTTTTTCCTCAATTTTTGACAAGCTGGAGAACCAATTGAATATATATAATTCCCACAGAAGTATATAGGAAAATATAATCTGACACGCGGACTTTCCATCATCGGGAAAAAGTCCGAGCACCAATTTCGTCCGCATCTCGGGGCCCCAAGTTGTAAAAAGAATTTTCACCTTCTGTTCGCGTCCTCTGTCGTAGAGAATCTTGTTCCTCTTCATACTTCGGAAGCAAGCCACTCATGTCCTGCTTCAACTGAACTTCAGACCCAGTTCCAGCCTTTTGATTAACACAGATCAACACGCTGTTTTCGGTTCCACTGATGGAAAGCTTCTTAGACTGTGTATACATGTTCGTATCACGATGCGTCCCGTCCAAGGAAATGTTTGCCAGGAAGCTAACGGCAGAAACTCGGCGATGCCGCGACAAGTATTTGGCTTGCATGTTGATCAGCTGCGCATCGCTCACAATCGAACCCCGGGGATTCACTTTGATTGCAGTCATGTCTTTTTTTATATATAATCTTTTCAAGTTACAACAACGACGACGAAAACTGGTAGAAGACTGTGTTTCACAGGTAAGCGTTGCACCACTCTGCCAGACAAGTGTAACAATCGACGGCGCAATTCACCGGAGCGTTGAACTCGTCACGCAACCACTTCACGAACAGGTGTCGGTTCTTCTTCAGAACTAAGTATTGGCCAAGCAGAACGTAGGCCTGAATCGGATAACAGAAATGCGATTATTTGTACAAGGTTCATCATCATTCAGAGAGAGATGGGCATTTTCAGAATTTTTAAAATAAAAATTTCGATAAAAAATTTCCCGAGATATGGACACTACGCCAAAATTTCTGAAGACGGCAAAATTGTATATTTCAAAATTTTGATGTCTCTTACACAAGTTGAGCGATTCATACTCACAAAAATAAAAAATTAACTAATATTATTTCAATTTTAAAAATTCAGTCTAATTAATAATCAAAGCAAAGTGATTGTGTTTTCGAAGTTTTTCCATCCACTGAACACAGTATAGCAAGACGACTTTTTTTTTACTTTTTGAGCTCATTTGCCTGACAGAAGATCAGATTCCGTGTGGTTTCTTCGGCCCGATTATTTTCTGCATCTTTAAATTAGAGAGAAAAAATTTGTTCAAACTTTTTGGGAGACTTCTTGAATTTTTGAAAAACTAGAGATGAAAATTTTACATTTTGAATCTATACAGTACATTGAAACAATTTCATCTCGTGCTCTAATGCGCGTAATGATTACGCGTATCAAAATGTCAAGTCCCATAATTCAGGAAAATGGGGCCTTGAGCAAAGAATGCCCTAAGCAACGAACATTTTACATAACAAACCCGGGTTATCACGCCATTTTGCCTAAAGCAAATGAACTGGACTTCAAGAACGAAGCTTAAGTCAAGAAGACAAAAAAGAAAAAGTCTTGTTAAAAATCTTTCTCAATATATTCTGAAAATTAAGAAAATTTTACATTTTTACATTTACATTTTACATTTTGCACTGCATTTAAAAACAGAAAACAAAAATCTAAAAAAGTAACCTCAAAGGGAAATTAAGATCATGAGGGAATTTGAAAAATTACTTCGCGCTTCTAAATTTGCAGGCTTTCAGTAATTTTCAATTAAAACTTATCAGTAACTAATGTTCTCTCTGTATTCTTGTCCGTTCGTGAATTTGACATGCTCATTTTCTTTATTTCACCTCTTAATGTTTTGCTCAATGCCTCATTGTTGTGTACTTTTTTTTCATCCTGTTCAATCCACGCACCGTGATGAAGCACAAAAAAGTTACACGTGCGAGAAACATGAACGCAGAGTGCTTCATAGTTTTCTTTATATTTTTAAATTTGACAAAAGCCAAATTGAGAACCAAATATTCCAAACCATTCTGTGATGAAAAAAATCCAGCCTCTATCACTTCGCCAAGGAATTTTTTTTCATTATAGCAATAACTTCGCGCTTATCTTCAGAATCAGCATTATACTGTACTTACAGAAAAAATAAAGGGATGAAATTTTCTTTTTGGCAACATGGTTGTCGAATACACTTTCGCGACTTCGCGCTAAAACGATTCCTATCATTTCAGATGTTTGATAGTTTTTATCCACAATACTTTCCTTTTTAACATTTCAGCACGATCAGGGAATTAAGAAGTACCTTGCGACTCCAAAAGAATATTACGTCCGTCTCCTTCCATTCAACAAGGGAAAAGCAGAACAGTCTTTCCCTTTTAATAGTTTTAAAGATGTAAGCCAAGAATAGCTTCTAATCGAGCGTTTAAAGGCCATTGCAAAATGTATACAAAAATCCCCCTCGCACTTTTCACACAAACCTTATCAAACCCGTTCAGGGCAAGTTTGCGGCCGAGGGTATCACCGATTCCAGATATGTCAGTGACAGGTTTGTCTCTCATCGGCTCCGCCACAAAAATCTTGACTTCTGGACATACCCTCTTGACGAGGGGTTCGGAACTTTCGTCGAAGTTATCAATATCCACAGAATGGTATCGACGCTTATGGAAAAAACATACAAAAAAACCCATCAAACATTTGGAAACAAAATTAAAACAAGCAGACAAGTTACCTTGGCAGCCCGCTGACGTTTCCCCATCACAAGGCAACCCACCTGCCGCACACGAAGAACATTCAGATCGGAATGGAATGTGAATGGTAACTTTCAAACACCGCTTTTTCTCGCAGAAAACAAATACGAGTAATCACGAAAGCGAGGATCACGAGAAAAAAACAGGCAAATCTAAAGAAACAAAACAACAACAAAAACGAAACACGACATTCGTACAAATTGACCTTTCCAAAATATTCAATGAAGCAAAAGTACACAATAACCCCCAACGAACTTTTTATTCCACCTCCTCGTAAACCGGCTTTCTCCTCTCTGATACGTGGGGCACGGTTCCTTTCTTCGAATTTGCACGCAAGTTGGCTTCCCTGGAAATGATAAAAAAAAAATTAAAATAACACATCGGATCAATGGGGTCACGGCACAAACTCCAATGACTCATCACGAATTTATCCAAACCAACACAGCGAGGTCATACCCTAGTTTTCGTGCGCCACTAGCAGAGAAATTCGAGTTCTGTTCCGAAATGGAAAATTCTCGAAGATTTCTCAATTCTTTTCACTTCAACGTTTGACGTAGTTTCTTATTTATTTTTAGAATTCTGGACTGATACAGTTGAACCTCGATAACTGGAACCTTCTTACCTCACTATGTCAAATTTGTTTAAAGGGCTCCATTAAAAATCCCGTGGGAGAAAAATCCCGTAAGGCCGATAATCCCGTAGGTCTAAAAAAGTCGCGGGGTCAGAAAATCCCGTGTACTACGAAATTGTATAAGAGTGCCTGGGTTTTAGTTGAAAGTGTGCTCGGGATAATACAGTGGATCAAATGGTAAAACAATATGAAGACATTAAATTCAGTGAATATATTCTTCCGTGGCCTTGGATTGAAATATGTACTTAGAAACTTAGTTGAATGAAAAAAAACTTTATGCTGTTAATCACGTATTTTAGTAATTATACATTGAATATTCAGATTGAAATTTGACGGAATGGGATAATGTAACACTATCAAACTGTATTTGGACTATTCAATAATTTAGAAATTGCGTTAACACCATTGTAGTCATCAAAGAAAAAATTTTCTGATACAATAATTAAAGTTTCGGGATTTCCGTTTGTGCGGGATTTTCGGACCCCGCGAGATTTATAAGCCTACGGGATTATCGGCCTGATGAGATTGTCGGGCCACGGGATTTCGTCTCGCACGAGATTTTCTCCTGCACCCGGTTCAAGTCCCTGTCTGAATAATCTCAGAAACAATGTACAGTACAGTACTAAAAACCTTCCCAAATGAAGGAAGGGGTTCTCCTTCAAAATTTCATTACTCAAATTTTCTGGAGGCGTTTTGACTATTACAGTATTTTTGTGACCCAGGAAAGAAAAAAGCAAATGAAATACTGTACAACTTTTTGTGTTTTGAAAGGTAGTGAAAGAAAAATTCGGCAAATGAACCCTCGCGTCTTTGTTCCGCACAATGTGAAATCCTTCATAAAGCATTTTTGGGCCAAGAGAGATCAATTATTTCAAATTCCTTCAATTATTTTACGGCAAAAATGGAACAATGGCAAAATTTCTGGGGGCCACTCTGTTCGTTTCCCTAATTTGAAACCTCCTCTTCTCTAATTTGAAACCTCAAGTCGAATTTTTTCGTTGGTCTATTGGAATTCAACCAGAAGAGGTTCAACTGTATTTCTCGAAAAAAAAAGAAACCTGACATAATCTGCGGAAACGTTTGAACCTCATGCAATTTTTATCAAATTTAGGTATCCCATACTTTTACACCACGATCTCGGGAAAGTTCGACGTAAGATCAAAAGCAATAATTTCTCATGTCTAAAATTCCAGAAAAAAAAAAGCCTCAACGCTCATCTTTGATCCATTGAGATTTTTTTTCAAGGATTAATTCCGCATTGAATATTCTCCGTCAGCATTTTCCGATGATTTTTTTAGCATTAGTTCTAAAAAAAAAAAAGAGAGAGAATGGAGTTCTATTGAATGTATCCCTGAACAACACGATTAAACGACTGGTTAAAAATGAGCAACTCACTTCCGCTTCTTCGAGGTCACAGAATCCCTGAGCTCCTTCCTCGCGTTCTTCACATGGTTCGGCACTTGTCTGTGCCTCGCAATCCGTTTTATTTCCGGATGCGCAGCAAACTTTTCCCTCAGCGCCTCCGCGTAATCCGCGGCGGCTTCTTGGCGAGGCCGCCTCGCGCCCATCTGCTCCGCCGCCCGGGCTTTCCACATTCTCACATTCATTTCGTCGGACCCCGAGAATAAAAATCTCGCGTCCTTTGACCACGCGACGCTAGTGACTCTTTGCATCCGTTTCGTGTGGTAAATCTCGCGGGAATGCCCTCGGGCTACAGGGAACACCCGGATGGTTTTGTCTTGACTTCCGGCGACGAATTCCTGGCCGGTCGGAGAATAAGCGACGTCCATGACGGCTGCCGTGAAATCTTTGTGCACGTTGAGCGGCTGCTGCAGGTTCCGCATATCGAAAGTGTATAAACTGGAACAGGATGCGGACGCTATCATTTCTCGGAATTCGAAACAGCGGGGGCTGATTCGTTTTTTTTTAATCTTTTCTATTATGAGGGAAAAAAGAGGGTTCGCATCATACAAGAATATAAAATTGTAAAACGTTCGCAGCGAATTTTTAAACGTCCAGATGCTCGTCAGACGTGATTCTAAGAGAACATTTTGATAAGCAGAGTAATTTTTTGCTAAAAATAGTTCTGAATTAACCAGTTCGAATTGAAATTTTTATTCTGATGCGATTTGAATTCAAAATTTTGTTGCACATATGTCACTATGGGGTGTACGTTTTACTCGGGGATATTTGTTTAAAGTTTCGAATGAGCGAAGCTTTGAAATGCATTGATATTAAAACATTTCAACAAACATTATTGGGACGGGTGACACTGTCACAGTGCGTATGAATTTCACAAATCATTCTACAAAAAGGAATAAATCACGCCACGAATTACCTATACTGTAATAAGCATTCAAAAGTAACACTCACTTGTAATCTTCATTAGCGACGGTGAAAATCGAAGGCTCCATGGGATTCCATGCCAAGTTGTTGCACTTCAACTTCATCACTACTCGTCTCAAAGGAACTGATTCTCGGGTGTCGTACAAAATTATGCTTCGGTCACTCGCACACGCAGCTACACGAGAAAAAAAAATTAGGGTAATACAATGCTGCCAACACGAATAATTTCGCAAATATTGTACAGTAAAACTACTCACCAAGTAAACTAGTTTCCACTTGATTGAACGAAACCGTGTGTGTTGAATCGACACCCCAGGTGAAAGATTTCACCGGAGCAGACCGACTTTCTTCCCAAATAGAGCAGTTATTCCCGCAAGTGGCGAAAACATTGTCTTTTGCATGATGTGATACACCATACAACATAGACTGAAAAATGAAAAGGGAAATTAGGCTTTAAAAAACTGTTTACGGTTTATGCGTCGTTAAGACGGTTCAACTGAAACATTCGGTACAATAGTTGCGTCTTCCATTTCCAAAACTATTTCTAGAACGTTGAACAATAAAAGAAATACAATACACAATTGTAATCCGCAATCGATCGAAAATCACTTCAAGATGGAATGAAAACGAGCGAAAAATTTGCATAATTTAAAAAACTAAATTCGAAGAAGTTCACGAAGCTTTTCTGATGAGTTGAGAACATTTTACGAAGCCGGATCCTACCCTCACACGGGCAACATTGTAAAAGTCAATAACAATAATGTGTTATCTCATTTTCCCTCCTTATTTGATCTCGATTGCACGTACTGTAGTTGCAAAAAAATTAACTCTCGCCTCAATTTGGTCACGTTTCGGTGCACGATTTCAAGTTTTTAAAATTATTATGAAAACACGAAAAATTTTACACACAATATACAGCGGTAAATTCGAAGTACAGTTATAAATTTCAAAGTCCAAATTTAGCTTCCCGGAGTTCGTTCTTTTTTCGGTCAATCACAATTAGAATAATTTTTTTGCTTCTTTAACAATGCGCAGCGACGCCTTTGGCCTCGGGATAAATCTTCATCTGAGTAAAAATATAAATGTTTATTTAACATTTAAAATCGACTGACTCATTTCCGCACTACATCATTTAACCAATCTAGCCTCAGCTGGTTTTAATAGGAATTAAAAGAATGTATCTACACGTAGAAATTTTAGAATCCTGACTTATGCGATGGGAGATCTTGTAACAACAGCTGAAGGTCCTGTCTTACATTTCAACAGTTTTCAGTTCTTCACCAACGCAAAACAATTATTTCATGGACACAAAAAGTATTGAAAAATATCTTTTTAACCTTCGTCATGATGGTTTCCACTGGCGTTTCGTCTTCTTCTTCATTCTCGTCGTCAACGATGAAATCATCCTTTTTTACATCCCAGCGATTTATCACACCATCAGCACCGACCGACAGCAACGACTCGGCATCACGACTAAAACAAATCCCACGGACGCACGAGTCACCCTGTTGTCCGTGGCGCCGGATTCGAACGCATTGACGAGTGGTGGCTCGCCAAGCCCGGATTTCTCCGTCCGCGGCGGCCGTGTACAACAAAGACAACCGATTCGGAGAAGGTAGAATGGCGGTCACACTGTCTTGGTGTCCGTCGAAGCAGCCAATGAACGGTTTGGCAAAAACTCGTTCTAGTTTAGTGGCGTTGAGCGCTCTGACGTACTCGCGCCCGGCCTCCAGCGGGTGTAAACTGGGATCGAAATTTCGCTCGACTGGGAACGAAGAACATGTCGAAGTATGAAAATTCTGCAGAAAGACGTTCACGAAGGCCTTCGGGAATTTTAAAAATGAAGCTATGCTGAAGAAGTGCCAAGATATATCGCCAAATTGAACTTACTTCTGAAAATCATGATCCTTACGCTTCGACTGATCTTCGGGGTAAATACAAGCACAAAAAAATGCAAAAATCCTCCGAATTTGCAAGTTATTTTTACGTTTGAAACCATGGAAAATATTGAAATGCCATTCCCAAGTAGGCAACTTAGATTTATATTTCTTCGAGCCAAACATTGTCGTAAGACAATCAAAAAGACGGATAAACGTAAGACAATCAAAAAGACGGATAAACGTAAGACAATCAAAAAGACGGATAAACGTGAGACAATCAAAAAGACGGATAAAATCAACTTACTTCTATGGAGATCCTGCTTGCTTTCACGAATGTAGTTCATAGGATTCCTCGACAATATTTTCACTTTCATTTTCGACTCGATAACCTTGCAAGTCCTGCAAAATTTTTACACACATCGTCAATGTGACACACACTGGCGCGCAAAAATTGGTTCTTTCATTGCAAATAATTTCAAAACTATCGAACATTCATGCGATTGATGAGCCATTAGGGGAATGAAGAAGAGCAACTGTGCTCAATGCGTTCGAGGAGGAATTCGGTTTGAAACTTCAAAAATTGACACACAAGAAACCTACGAAACAGCTTCTCCATCTTATGCCTGCAGATTGGTGATTTTACTTTACTCGAATTTTAAATAAACATTACTATCCAAGATTTAAATGAGAAATCAGATAACCTTTTCGAAACAAAGCAGAGAAGTACCGACTCTTGTAATGCATTTCCTTGAACACCACCCGCCCCTTTTCTTCCGATTAGATGAGAAAATAATTCATTACGCTTCAATAAAAAAATGAATCACGACTGTTCTAGAGTAATATTCCCTTTTCCTGGCAGTGACTAGAATTTATCTGAACAAGATGATTCACACATCAGACGGACATGTACCATTCCGTAATTCTGTTCACCCAAAGGTTGAACGCGTACGAAAGATTATTTTAATTTATTTTCCACTTATATTCACGACTTTTTTTCAAACTTTTATCTCATGATCCAATTATAATTTATCTCCGTTATTTTAAGCTCTAATCAAGCTCTACTTTCCTGATTATACCAATGATGCCGGATTAGTATATACTGTAATTGACGGCGTTCGACCAAATTGAGCTCAGAGTCACGACCAGCCAAGTTTGGAAATATCATTCCACATTTTATAATAAAGACCAAGGTTGCTCGCGGGATAACGGAATGCGTTTTTAGGACACAATCCAAGTCATACGAAAATACAGTAAAAAAAAAAGAACCCTTATAAACGGAGAAGTCAAATGAGTCCACATCGTCCACGAACATTCCGCTGATACACAATTATAAAAAGGAAAAACGCTCAGTCATTCCGTCAACGAAGTTCCATCAATCGGCTCTATGGTTGTTTTTACCGGACACTCATACGCCCAATGGCCAGTTTTACCACAAGTGAAGCATCGACCTCGTCTTTTCGGGGGTTCATTCTCAGCGGTCATAGGACTGTCTTTTGCCTCCGAAGATCCAGTCGCATTGGACGAAGAACATGAGGAAGTTTGTTCCGAGTTAGCACCAAGACTGGCAATGCGTCGAAAAAATCGCTTTTCGATTTTATGCTTTTTCATTTTCGTCTTCGAGCGCGCACTAACTCCACGTGTTGCACATTTATTGCGGAGATTCAATCGAACGAAGTTATTATCCTTTGAGATCTTCGCAAACTTCGTACCAGATGTTTCCGGTACATCTACGGTTGGTCTGGGTCGCTTTTTCCGCCGGGTTTCGCTTTTCCTAGGCGCACACACAAACCCAACATCCCTTTCTGACAACGATGTTTCACTGTCAACGTCGTCGTCCATATCGGAAGATGTTTCATCACTATCTGAGTCTTGCAAAGTCGAAAGTACAAAATCCGGAATGATATCACCGTCAGCAGTATTCACTTCGTCGGTCCTAAGGCAATCGGAGGAGTTTTGAATTGTTTCACAGTCACTTTCGTAATCTTCTTCATCCGAGCATTCCGAGGCATCAGCTGCATCGTCACTATCTTCGGTCCATGCATTATGTCTATGAGCGAATTCGACATCGTTATTGGCAATGTCTGAGAGGAACTGAGTGTCAAGGCGATCACATTTGATAGGGTCCAAGTTTTTAATTGGGGAAAATGTCTTCAATAAATTTCGTTCTCGAGTGTTCGAAGGGACGGCTATCCGTAGCTTAACTCCGGGAATGACCGAGTCGGCATCAAAATTATTTGCGCTTGGCTCCATTCCATCTTCTGCTTTAGAGACTTCTCTCGTTGTGAGAGTCGCTGTGACTGACAGTGGTTGAGATTTTGATGAAATGAACTTCTTTAAACTGTTGGGAATGAATTCTGACTTCGCGGCTGCATTCATGCGGAACAGCGGGGCTTTCAGTTGATTTTCCTTGGCAGAAGACACAGCTTGATCCAAACTCAAACGTTTCGCTTCTTCAGCACGTGATAAATGACTACCCCAAACATTTTCTTCGTTTTGAGGTAATTTCCGATTAGACGAAGATCTCGCTTTCTTGCCCTGGAAATCGAGTGAATCATGAGTAATACTTCACTCATTCGAAAAAATCAAAACACCAACTTTTCCTGTCCGTCCGGGAACCAACATTGGACTTCTGATGGCCTCAGAAACACCCGGTTTCTTTGTTCTCATGCTGTCGCCGCAAAAGTGTATGCTCAATATTCGACAGCACTCTCCTGAAATGGGATACAAAAAAGAAGAAACAAAGTTCAATCAACCATTGACACGAACTTAACACCGGTGCAATTATTGTTCCAAGTACAGTACTTGAGGCCGAAAATCGTTGCGATTAAAGCATAAAATGGATCCCACATTCCCACCTTCATTTAGGCTTGCAAAAGATTTAGACGCACACTGAAACATTTGTCAGACAATCTTCCCTAACGGAACGACTATGTCGGACCTATTGACATCTCGGAGCATTCGGTCCCCAAATTAACAGGCTCACGCTCCTCGTGAAGCGCTTTCAACCGTCGAATACAATACTATCAAAGCTCTGTAACAGATGTCACCGCAACATTTGTGTTGGTGCCCAAGCTGGTGTATACGCAGGTCACACAAAACAAAAATTGTATGTCAATACAGCATATTAAAATATTGTATTTCATATTTTGCCTGGTGTTCAGTAAAACCTACAGCGAAGACCAATTGTTTTTCTTAAATCTTGTTTCCTGTCCACTTCAGTTATTTTGAAAGCTCGTCTTTTGAATGCGGCAGGATCACATTGGAACATCGGCTCCATGATCAAGATCATCATTGAATCCGGCTGCCATGCCAATGCCGCGGAGCAAAAACCACCCCTGGTTGACCTGACGCATATGCAACAAAACAAATCGCTATATTATTTCTCCCTGCTGAAATGATCTGTTATGAAAGAATGAACTAAAAACTGAAAAAGCCTGAAGACCTGCCTTAATTACAAGAACTTTAATGATTTATAAATGCAAAAGGTGCGGTTTCCTAGCTGGAACAGTTTTTGCCAAGGATGCTTCTTATTATTGCAGTACTGTACTGTAATATACCTTCAGTGTTTATTCGTAGTTTTATTTTTTACTGGATAGCTGTGTTCGGTTGGAAAGGAAAATAACCTATCTGCTAATTACTGGTCCATATATGCATCCTTTATAAAATAACTCAAAGATGTGACATTTACTTTCTGATAACAACAATTTTTTCTGTATAAGAAATTTTTTGATCCACAGAGATGTCTCCCCATGCCATAGCAGTTTTCTCAAGCGAAATTATTTCTACAACGATTTATTTTGTGATTCCGTGGAATATTCTTTGTAGGGAGTCCATCTGTAATTCTCTTATCGTTATCCGATGCACAGTAGTGCTACCTGCGGGCTTTTCGTTTTATAGCTTTCCCCGGCATCCCAACTCCCTGAACGCCATTGGCCCGACGCCATTACATGCACCGGAGCGATGGCGGACGAGAACGTTGAATTGTTGCTCTCGTTGTTCAGTGAACAAAAGTTTAAGGCAGGTGTTACTAGATTTCACCCGGGATTGCGTCGGATTTCGGATTACTTTCGAAGGCAACGTATTGATCGCCAGCCTGTGAAGCCGTATATGATGCCTTAACGTTGGTGACGAAAGTGTGTATTCCCCTTTCCGCACGTCACTTGGAGTGGGTTGCCGGCCGGTGTTCGCGCGTGTGACGGAGTCTCTGAAAAGATTCATGAGAAATTCCATTCAATGGAGTCTCTGAGGAATGATATGTGTTTCCATATTGTTAACTGACCTGTACGCGGGTTTTTTTTTGTTTACAGGAAGTCGTATTTTTCCTGTGAAGCAATTTCTACCTGACTCTAACGACACTCGCTTGTTTTCATCATGGAAACTCAGAACGGTGACGCCATGGAACACTCCGGAAACGACACTGCTACGACTTCACCGGATGACGAGAGGAAGTTATTCATCGGTTGGTTTTTCTTGATGTCTTATTTGAGGTATTGTATCTCGCTTCATTGTCAATTCATCTTTTCTTCCCCTTCAGGTGGATTGAGCTGGGAAACTACGGAGGCAAACTTGAAAGAATTCTTCTCCAAGTTTGGCGAAGTCGATAATGTCAACTTGAAAACTGATCCCAACACTGGTCGATCAAGAGGCTTTGCTTTTGTCGTCTTCAAGAGTTCTGAATCAGTTGAGGGCGTGCTGAGCTCCGGTGATCTGACCATTCAGAACAAGAAAGTTGAGGCGAAACGCGCTAAGGCAAGACAAGGGAAAGTGTTCGTTGGTGGACTTCCCGCTGAAGTATCCGAGGACGACATTAAGGCGCACTTCGGCACTTACGGAAAGATCGTTCTGATGGAGATGCCTTTTGACAAGGTGATTTCATATTTTGAAATTTACTGTTCAATTCAGATTGAATGTAAACCTGATTCCATTTCAGGTCCGCAACCAAAGGAAGGGCTTCTGTTTCATCACGTTCGAGTCTGAGAATTCCATGAAGAATCTGTTGCAAAGCCCAAAGCAAGTCGTTGGTGGGAAGGAAGTGGACGTGAAGAAGGCGACTCCGAGGAATGACCAGATGGGGGGCATGGGCGGAGGATTTATGCGTGGCGCACCGCGTGGTGCCCCGCGCGGCGGCATGATGCGAGGTGGACGCGGCGGTCCTCGCGGCGGTGGTTGGGGACCTAGCAACAACAGTTGGGGTGCTCCTCAGTGGAACCAGGGTTACGGAGGCGGCTACGACAATTACAACTACGGTGGTGGCGATGGCTACGGTGGTGGCGCCGGCGGCTACGGAGGGTAAAAATATATTCAATCCTGTTCTTTTCACCTTGATCGTGTAGTTTATTCAGATTAATTTTTATTGTTTAGGTACTGGCATGCCCGCGCAATTTTTAACGTAATGATTTCAATTGAAAGGTATCATTTTGTTAAATACGCACAGAAAGGTCCTCTGAAATAGCCAACTTTTGGTAAGATATACCCCCTTGCATGCATAGTACAGGTGAACCTTAATACAATATGTCAAACTTCCCTAAGTCAATTTTTTTTTTCAGGTTCCCATCTGAACCCCCTTAGGAACTATGCATTAAAAACCTCCATAAGTCAAAGGCTTTTCCCCTCAAACCTCCAGAAGTCAATTTTTCTGTGGCCTGATGGTGGATATTTTCTTGACCCAAAACAGAAAATAGCAATAGAAACAGTAAGTGATGTGTTTTATATGTAGTGAAAGACTTAATTGCGCAAATGAACCCCTTCCTCCAAGTACAGCATCCTTTCAACTCATTTAAGCACCAGTACATCATTCACAATTTTGAGCAATTTTTCAAGTTTTCCAGGACAAGGGTGCTTTGTATTTTAGCTCAAACCTCTTTCATTCAAAACATCCCAACTTTTGAATAGTTTTTTGCTGGTCCCTTGAAATTTGACTTGAAGATGTTTGACTATTCATAGATCTCAAACCAGTCAGACACATTCTTGATCTTTTGTATGGAGAATGCTTTGGCTGAACACACCAAACTGGATTTGCTCTTGTGCGTGTATTCCTCCACATGGGCATACACGGTCCGACAATTTGCTTACAGATTGATAAGATTTTAATATTACGTACTAAAATTCATGTCTGAAATATGCTGAAATACCTATCAAAGTACTAGAAATATTGGGTGTTGTACGTGATCAGGATGGTTATTGGTCTAAGTTTGTTAAAAATTGCTCATGTAAAGGATCTGGTTAATAGGCCCTAACCCTGTTCAGATCATATTTGTTGAGGGTTTAAAATTATAGTAGTTTTAGTTCAAGTATTATGGTAGATATCATGGTTAGTCACTGATCAAGTATTTCCGGAAGATCACGTAAGGTACACTTTTACGAAGGCTGGTCACGATAGAGTTTATATGTTTTGTTTATGTCTCTGACATTAACTCGAACAATTATTATGGGAAAGGAATTGTCCAATTACTTCCCTGTAGGCTTATCGGGTCAGGTTGACCGTTGTAAATTTTTAGAATTTGATTTAGCTCTTGTTCAGGATTGAGTTTGCCATTCCTGTTCGAGTATTCGGTTACGCTTAATTATAGTATTATGATGGATGTTGATGTGTTGGGTTGCTAATCGGCTAGAAATTTGATGATGTTGAGATTTGTCCGAGTGAGCAAATCCGTAATTGACCGCGAAGTTTGGTTTTTGCTTGTATATTTAGATGATTGTCTGGAAGCATTGGATTGTCTATGGAAGTGGGGTTAATAATGAGAATAGTTGAAACTCGACGTCGAAAACCTCTCTGAATGCATGTTCCCAAGTTCTTGTCTGAATTACCTTGGAAATAATGCACTGAAATCTCAATAAATCTAAGGCTTTCCCTCAAACATGCGTTAGTCAAATTTTCTGGAGGCCTTTTGGCTATTACTTTATTGACGCAGGAAACAAAATTGAATAAAACTTGATTTGAAGAGTGTTTTGAAAGGGAGCAAAAGAATAATTGGACGTTGAATCTCTTGCCTTCAATACCAACATCGTCTCACCTCTTTCCAGCAGCAGTCTAAGGCCCAGAATCTCACCAGTCACAATTTCCTGTAGTTTTACTCTTCTTGATTCTATAAAACATGCTTGTTCCCCAAACTGGGAACTTCTCTAACTTGAAATTTTTTGTGTTTCGTGATGTTTTGCAGGTATGGCTATTCGGGCTACGACAACAGCTACGGAGGTGGCTACGGTAATGGCTACGAAGGCTATGGTCAAGCTGCGGGCGGAGGGCGTGGCGCCCCCCGGGGTGCCGGTCGTGGCGGCCCGCGCGGTGGCGGCCGCTTCCAACCATATTAAGCCTCCTCCCCTGTCTTGCGTGAGCCTTTATTGTTTTGTACATTTGCCAGCCTACCTCTGCCTACGCAGCTCCCGCTGGGAAAAGTGCATCATCAACTGACTACGTCTGCTCCTTCTTCAAGTTTTGTACCTTGTCACTCTAAGCTTGGTTTTTATATGCTGGAGCAGAGGAGAAAATTCTATTGAATGTCCATTGTTATCTTGTTTCCCAGCGCTCCGACCGAGCTCTGTTTGGTTGCGTTAAAATTTTTCTGTGCATTTTTGTGGGATGTGTCAGATTTAAAAAGTTCGTTATTGTGGTAGACGAAGCTCTTCGTGCAAGCCGCAGGTAGAGCAGACTGCAGCGAGCAAGACAAATAAACTCTCAAACTGTTCTCGAATCAGATAGCATTTGTGTTCAAGTTTAAACTGTAGCATGACTTCTGCGGCAACTTATTTTTTCATGGTTAAACTTACGGATCCGTCGACTGTATAACGGCATGGGACATGCTGTGAAGCTCCTGTGTTGAGGTAATCGAAACTGTACTTTTTTCCAGTTCTCTCGGATTCGGGCTGTTGGACTTCCGGCCTGCAATTCTCAATCCAGACATTTCATGTGGATTTTTTCTACTCAATCGTACCTTTTTTGCAACTTGGAAAGATCAGCTAGGCGGAGATTCCTTGTAATCTCGAGAATCGAGCGTAACATATATTTTGTACGGTTCAATATTACAACTCCACGCGTGAAAAAAGATTAATCACAATGACTTGCGACAGCAATTTCAAAATGTAAGTACAGTACAGTTATTGGAACAAGACCACGTGTATGCAAATACACGGCGCCTCTGTTGCGCAAACGCCGGAAATTTGAGCATAATTCGGTCAGCAGTGATTCAGATTTCCATTATCGTAAGATAAGATGAAGATCCCATACGATTATTTTTCATTTAACTTAGAGAGGGCATGTGCGCATTTTTACTCTAAGAATACAAGTATGTGTGATCAGAAATTTCGAAAATTTCATGGCAAAAATTCCACAAAGCATCTGGAAATTTCATGGGTGCAGTAAGCAGTATTTTTTAATCAACATAATTTTCTTATTGCTGGTCGGATTAAATCCAGTTGGGAGACTGTTCAAGTAATATTCAACTTTAAGGTGTTCGAGATTCGTTGCATTTCAGCCTTTTTAGGAAGTGCATAAGGTTTTTTCCCCGCAATTTTACTGTATCTTCATTATGCGAAATCATTCTCTTCGAAATTATTTGTATTCGAGTTGCTGACGAATAATTGGTGTCTTATGTTCGTGGTACTAATTCTCGAGAATTTTTCATATCGCATCAGTGTCATTGATCGTGTTCCGACCTTTCTCACAAATTGTTTGACTATCCTTCGTACTTTATTGACTGTCTTCTTGGAAAACACCTTCGCAGCAAAAGTTTTTGTATCCTGCTGATGCGCTGCAAATATTTTGAAGAATAATTTTTTCTAAGCGAGAAGTTTCATGAGATTCTGTTGAACAAGATTCTTCTGGATTCATTCTTCTGCTGACTAATTTCTCGCGAGGTTTTCTCTCGTTTCCGTCTTGCTGATCTACAAAGAACTGTGATAATCTCTCGAAAACTTCGTTTGATCTCGTTTCCAACTGGAAAAAGTGTTGATTTTGCATGGCGTTCCAATTTTTCGATGTTACTGTAAAAGGACTGCTCGGCCCAAGGTGCGAGGCATCCGTGAGAATAGCATGAGTTTCGATCATCGTGGTGGTAGATTTGGACTTGATTTAGCATTTAAAAAGGCTGTGAAGAGAAACTGGGAAGGACGAAAAGGGGGTTCCTGAATGCCAGAGGAGCTGAGAAGTTACGCGTTTGGTGAGTTTAGTCGTTGAACCGAATCCCTGTGTCACGGAAAATCTGCAAGCTTTCAACGGTAACGTTATTAAGGCACAGCACGATATTGTCGAAGAAACGCCTAGAGAGGCTTCCGGAAGTTCTTTTTTTTTTCATTTCGCAGGAGTCTTGGAATTTATTCTTCCTACCTTCAGTTTACATCATGATCGAAGGAATTTGGATAACATTTTCGGAAGTGCTTTTGTGGTTCATTTCTTGACGTATTTACGCGAATCTACGACGCAACTTTTTGTTTTGATTTTACACCTTTGGCTCGTCAAAAATCGAAGTCTGTCTAAAAATCTTAAATTTGTTCATCAGAATACTGTAATCCTTACTAACTACGGTATCTTACACTGATTTTCCTTGGTAAGAGAATAATTCTCTGGTCCTGGAATTTTTTAGTCTATGACTCAAGGTACTTTACTTTCCTTCGAACAATTGAGGCTTATTCGTAGAATATTTGAATGATGGCAGCAAGCGTACGATGACTTGGAAAATATAAAACGAAGTTGATTGATATAAAATTGAATTGAACTTACCGTAATCAGAATCAAGTATAATTGAAACTTACCGTAATCTGTATGAAATTTAATTCAATTCGAAGGAAATTAACTTGAACTTGATTCAAATGGAGGAAACTTGATCCGAAGACAATTTAATTGCGCTTAATCTAAATGGAATTGAATTCCACTGAATTCGAAAGATTTAACTTGATTCAAACTTTGAGCTTCTCTGATTTGAAAAAGATTCATATAACATTTCATGGTACAATAAAAGCATTTTAAATAATTACGGAACACGAACGATTACTCTCCTTTCTCGTTGTCGTAGATGTTGGAAACTGTTTCTCCAACCAGAGAACAGACATGTTTTGATCTGCTTAAACCAACTGACGAGAAGGGCGTATGTTGGAATCAGCGGTGTCGTAGATTCGCGTAAATGCGGTGATTTTCATATGTTTGATCAGCTTACAGTGTTCTTTTTTATTGTCTGCCGCCGCAATTGAAGAAAATCTTTCAACGATCGATACGTCAGCGGTGTTGACGTGGTTCCATCAAGTTATCTGATCCATCAATATTCGCATTCATCATTGCTCGAAAAAGCGTGCAAAAATATTTCGCATCTAATTATTGCAAAGGTTCTCTTGCAGTCTGTGGTATATTAAAGGTCTGCTCAACTGCTTCCATCGGAATTCTGTGCGATGTTGTAAAAGCCGCTGTGAAAGGAGAAGGATCAGTATTTTTCTATCTTCGGAAAAAATTTTAAACCGGTCATTTTGTACTTTCACGCTCAAAGGTAAAGCATTTGTGCACTTCATCCTACCCATTTTTGACCAGTTGTTTTATGATGTGCGTATTCTGATGCATTTTTTTTTTTTATTTCGGCAGGTGAAGAAATCGCAAGATAAAGTCATGGGCATGGAAAACGTGTGTTCCCGAAAATGTGTGATCTAATGTGCTTCAATCGATTTTTTTTTTCAAAATTGTTCTGTGATACGCATTAAAAAGAACCTCAGGAAAAACACTTCACGCATTAGTTTTCATTTTATGTATTTTTAGTTCGTATTAATGCATGCAGGTTGAAACAGAGCTGTTGACATCTTGAAAAAGGAAGCATGAATTTTCAATTTTGTTCACGGATTTTTGTGTTTTCTTGGAAGTGCAGGGATAAATCAAATGAATGATCGCGTTTCTCCAGTCGTCGGAAACGGCGAAGGGGATGCTCTGAACTGTGTATCGGCGATTGACTCTGACAAGAATTGCTGCATGTGAGTTGATCACCAAGTCTTTAATGACCTTATGTTCCTGAGTTCATATTTTTAAAATGGTCCTTGATTTTTATTTATTCTTTTGGTAGGACGTTGGTCATTCCGTTTGAAAGCGAGAAAGAGGCCTTGGTTGTGTTTCGTTCCGTGAGTGTGGACCCTGAACCTCCACGCAGTTCGGCGAAGAGAGAGTTACGCTTGGTTCATCCTAATCGCATTCATGCGTGAGTTTATTGATCCATAATTTAATTTGTAGGATTATATTTTTTGCTTTGCGAACTCTAAATATTGTGATTGGAAACTTCCACTTTATTTGCAAGTGCAGGTTTAATTTGAATCGTGGTCGAATCTTGTTACAGCGAATCTTACAAAAAATGATTGATAACGAGAAATTTATTTTGTAAGTTCTTACTGCCTGATGGTTGCAGTGTTGCTGTATTTACTTGAGTACCATGCACCCTTGAGTAAGACGGGTACCAATGTATTTCAGTTAGCTTTTTGCTTGTAATTCTTGGATCAAATTCAAAGAACAGTATATTTTTAATCCTCCAATGACAAGTTGAACTTTTCCAACCATTGAAATACAGTTGAACCTCTGTGAGTCAAATTTCTAGGGACCAGGAAAAAATTTCAACTTAGGGAGGTATTGATTTTTGGAGGCTTCCAGTTAAGTAAGCAAACACTTTTTTGTGAGGAATAGTGAAGAAAGTGTAGGAAATTATAAATTAGGATATTCTGGGCCTAAACTTGCTCTTTAATGAGTTTACATCTTGCTGAACTTGGAGGCTGGGGGTTGTTAAATATATTTGTCTTTCACTTCCTTTCTAGATGCATCAAATTATTTGTCTATGATTTTCTCTTACATATTTCAAGGAAACAATAACCAGATGGCCTCAGAAAATTTGACTTCCAGATGTTTAAGAGAAAAAGACTTCAAGATAGGGAGGATTTTAATGCATTGATTCTAAGGGAATTAAGACAGGGGCTTGAAAAAAAAAATTGACTTAGGGAGGGATTTGACTTATGGAGGTTTGACTTATTGAGATTCACCTGTACCTTGAGAAAAATAAAAGCAGAAATGCTGAAATTTGCAGAGTATTTCCATGCTTGATTATAAGTCATCAGGAAATGTGCCTTTTCAAATGCAGAATAAGCAAACACCCATGGGAAATCATGAAGTTGCCATCCCAATAGTGATTTTTGTTTTAATGATGGACAATCACCTGTCATACAATTGTATCATTTGAAGCAGGATCCACTTTCCAAAGCAGAAAATAATAATTCAGTCAAAATCGAAGTACAGGTACAGTACTTTGTGCAATGTGTCAATTAACAGGGTACCACTATGCTCATACAAGGCTCTCTTATTGTGCTTGGAATTAGGAATTATGTGAATATTTTTCAAAAATTTAAATCTTATTTTTCCCTCTTTCAACAGAGATCTAGTCGCCAAGGATTTCAGGTCATTGCGTGCGTCTTGTACGTCACTGTTGGACAGCATCAAGCTCGTTTGTGATACCATCCAGGAGTTCAGACCGTGAATTTGAAGCGCGAGGATGCCGGAACACACACCGGCGCCCACGTTTGCTCGCGGCGTCTACGGATTCGTGCTTTACGTGGCGGCGAGTGCGGGTTTCTTGCTGTACTGCGTTTGGGCGTACATGCCGCCGCAAGATCTCTACTGGCCACATCGGTACTGGGCTGTCGGTGTTCCGCTCTTTGTGATCGCTGCCGTGTTGCTATTTGCTTTCTGTTTGTATCCTCTGGTGGTGGCCCGCGTTTTGGCTGAGGACTATGAGAGCTATTCGGGGACGGCACCAGTGAAGAGGGGTTTGAGTCAGCGAGAGCCGCAGTTGCATGACATCCCACTAGAAGACGTGTGTCGGAAACTGTACGCCCGGGATGGTGGGTTGAAATGAATTTCTGTAATGGAATGTGTCGAAGTTTTGACAGTGATTTAAAATTTTAAGTACTGTTCTGTATTCTGTACAGTATTTTTGGTACTGTTGAACGTCTCTGAGTAAAATCTGAAAATAATGAAAGAAAAGTTTCTGAAAGAGAATTGCCACTTTAGGGTAGATCAATCGCAGAAAATTATGAGAACTATTATTTATTCACGGATTTTACACATGCAGGATGAAGCATAATGTAAACAAAATTCCGTAGGCATCTCGTTACAAATGTAATTTCCTAATTTTTTTTCTCTCAGAAATGTAGCTCCCCAATTTAATCACAAATGAGGAATGAAGAATGGGGATTCTATCCAAAAGATTGAGTTACAGAGGTTTACATTACTGTATTAACTCAAGTACTCTACTGCACACCCTTGAGTAAGACAAGAACCTTAGTTTTTTGTGTTTGGAATTTTCCCCGAACATTTATCCAACAGTTAGATGCACAACCTCATTTTGAGCTCAAAATCTCTGTCTTTTAATAATTATGTTGAACAAAAGAAACCCTTCAATGAATAATCTGATTGAACGCATTTAGAAGAGAAATTTTTCGTGCAAAAGAAAATTTCACTTTTATTAGTTTTGCCCGAAGAAACTTGCAGTTCATTCCAATTGATCCACAATCATTTAAATTAATTTTGCAAAAGCTGTATACCACGTATATCCCACTTTTCTGTCCCAATTTCGCAGAAAAAGGGGTGCATGGAACTCAGGTAAGACTTTTCAGTATATTGAGCTCCAGGGAATTGGCCAGGGATTAGACTGAAACTGAAGCTCAGTTAACTAGAAGTGTTCTGAATAAGCCAAGATAAGTGAACCATAACTTTTAGGCACTAATAATTTACTGGCATGTGTGAGCCAGACAGCTCGTTGTCTGCAATAACAACAAACTTCCCTCATCAAATAGGGCTAAAACTTCGCTTGAATTTGATCGACCAGTCCTTTTCAGGAAGTTCGGTATAAATTCCTAAAATCCTGTAGATCATGTTACACATTCACTCATCAGCAAATTTCCAGCAACATGTGCGGTGGGTGAGAAGCTTACGTGTAAATTTCCAGATTTCAAATAAAACCCACCAGAAAATTCCAGAAGAAATTCGGGATTGTTCATTTCAATATCTGCTGCTCACTTGCAAGCAGCTGTCAGTTTGTTACTGAAATAAAGCAGCACACAATAATAAAATTCCAACAGATACAAAATTCCTTTCAGAGCAATTTGACACGCAGGCACGACCTTCATCAATTCCCGTTCGGCATTCAAACCGCCGTTACGAATAATGTTGACCCTAATCCATTCATTCACACTGTATTTTGAGGGCCAAAAGGTCATCACCCGCAAAACGAGATGAAAATCAAATTACGTTAAATTACCCAATCCACTCGCCATTGCGCCAAAAAATCGTCTTCTTCACATAACCCACAGCAATTGTTGGGGTGGAAGAACGCTGCGGGTTGAGACTCACGTTCAATATTACATGAACACCTTCACGGACTGGCGTCCGGGAATTAAAACAAAAAATACCACAACACAAGAAGGAAAAAAAACGGACGCTTCTCCTTTCAAAATGCATCACGACTATGAAAAATAATCCAAGGAAAAAAAACCGAACAATAATCGGTTAGCAGCTACTTATGTTAAAACTATAATAAAATACTAAATCCTTCGTCAAAAAACCACGAAACAAACATTTTTGGCACCACCTCATAAACACGTACAACACACATCAATCAGCTCAAAGTGGCAAGTTCCAGTAGCTTGAATGGAGCAAGGTTTAAACGCATCCTTTAACCAGGAACAACTTCCTCACGAAGCACTCAATTCCAACAAGTGAAACACTGCGTCAAGTTTCTAACGCACTAACTCCTGGATCAACTCCCAATCTCTCTCAACCCATTCCAGAGCTGAACCCGGCCCCAAAGCGAAAATCTCCTTCTGCGGTAAGAAACACCCTCAGAAGCAACACAAAATGAGGAAATGAAACTATGAAAGCACTCAAAACTTCAGCATTTCATAACCCGTGAAGTTCGGAAATTGAAGTGCTGCCTTAATATACTCGAAAGACTGATCAAAAGGCTTGGAATTCGCATGAAATTCAGAAGGACCCTGTACGTATTAGAATGACTACGGAAACGACAAAAATATCGATTTCACCCAGATTTCACGGGGAATCTAATATCTTGCTTCACACGAAGGAACCATCCTCCTAATGCATCGGCACTCACAGACACAAACGACTCAATCATCAATATGATCCTGATGAACCACATCCTCCACCACCTGCGCACCCGGCAACATCAAATGAGGTTGTGTGCAAAGGAAGCATCCATGTTGTCGAGCAAAAAGTGAAAGAACGCGTTGGTGCGTAGAGCCTCGTCCTGCATTCTCAGCGGATCCGTGGCTGACAATCTCGTCACATTTGGCGTGAAAACCACTGCGAGATTGTACGCAGTCATTCGATGCACCTCCACCTTGTCAGGCTCAACAAGCCGTTGCAAGAAATTCACTAGAAATCCCAACACGAGGCGATTCAGTGGCGGCATCCGACTCAACACCGCATTCATCTGGTCCACACTGCAACTCCGCTGTTTCTCTTGCTGGTGCATCGTCGTAGAGAGCACGTCACTCAACACTTCGGGTGGGATAAGTGCCTGGTGTAAGTCAGCCAACCAGCGCTTGAGCAGCGCCGCGGGTACGAGCGGGTTCGTCCAGTCGGGCACTTGAAACCTGTCGAGCAAATCCTGAGTACCATCCAGTTCTCGGTGGTCGGGAGCTTCACGGAATATGCCCAGCGTTGTTCCTCCTCCCAAGCGCAAAACCTCTTCTGCTAATGTGCACAACACCCAGGGCAATTGGCGGTCAGGGAAACGCTCCCGTTGCAACGCCATCACCTCTTCCAGAGTGCAACCAAACATCGTGGGTCGGAATATCTGGACCCGGGCGCGGTCCACGTCGCGGGAAGTGGGTTCCGCCATGACTGAGCTGCTGCCCTTTTCCAGGATCCGGTCCAGGCGCTGTTCGCAAACCCCGGCGTAGTGGGACACCTGAAAAAATACCACGTGTAGAAATTTATCATTCCAATCCTTAGGCAAACTGCTTCTGCATCTATGAGGTTTCTGTGTGGCATTACTGTACTTGACATTGTTCAGCTATGATCGTCAAGTTCAGATTAGGTAACTTTTGAGTGGCTAAAATGTGCGGGTGGACTCTATACAACGAACAATTCAGCAGACCAGTAATACAATTTTTTGCGTCACACGCAGAGGTACAATTTTCAACAGTTTTTAGAAGTTTCAGTGGCGTCACACTTGACTACTATTATACATTTTCTACGGGAACTTTTTAGAAATCAAAACGATTAAAAATTAATTGAATTGAGGTTGAATTCATAACCAAACTTGGATTCTGGTGTCTTTTATTCTTGAAATATTGCAGTTTTTTAGTTACTAAAAATCGTGCAGAGCAGTGTTCCAACCATTCAGGGACTTCAAACTGGCAAATTTTAATAACATTTTTTGCAGGCCAACGAATTTCCAAAAAAATATTCTGCAGTCTGGCAAAGTTTCAAAAACATTTTTGCAGACTGGAGAAGGTCTTGCTTGAAAAACTTTATAGAATCTATGGTATTTTAGAAGTTTCTGCTTTTTTGCAAATACAGTTGAACCTCTCTAAGTCAAACTTCAAGGGACCAGCAAAACAATTCAACTTATGGAGGTTTTGACTTAGGTAGGTTTTGAATTTATCTACAGTACAATAAAAAGCCCTTCTGTGTTGGGAAACATAAAAAATGCTCAAAATAGTAAATTGTAATCTTCTGAGGCTGAAATTATTTCTTAAATGAGTTTGAAAGCATCCTGAACTTGGAGACAGGGTTCATTTGCCCAATTGAGTGTCTCACCTCATTATAAAACAAATCAATTTATGTTTTATTGAAATTTTTCCTTCCTGTGTCAAGAAAATAAAAGCCAACAGGCCCAGAAAATTCAACTTATGGAGGTTTTGAGGGAAACACCTTTGACTTGGGAGGTTTCAAATGCATTAGTTCTAAGGGGATTCAAACAGGACCTGAAAAAAAAATTCAACTTGGGGGTTTTCAACTTAGGGAGGTTTGAGTTATCAAGGTTCACCATTAACTTGAGAACCAATGAATTGTCTACAGCGGAATGTCTTCAACAAAAAAAAGAAAGATGGGCTTGAAGAAAGGTTAATCAGAATAAAAAAAATTGAAATTATTTTTTTTCAGCATGTGTAAATTTACGAAATCAGCTATTCAGGAAATAGTGTTATTAATGGAAGAGTCAACTTTTCTTTTTAATACAAAAACTTCAACTGCCATCGTCATTCCAAAATTTCTCAAAAATATATCAGACTTCAATGCTAATTTTGATCAATTTATCATGCTGCAAAAACATTTTAAGATTGACAAAAAACTTTTGTGGACTGGCACTAGTCTGCAGACCATAGGTTGGGAACACTGGCCTAGAGGATTTTGCTCAGGGGTTGGATTGCATCAAACTTTTAGGGTGGGAAATTTAGTCGTGTTTCTCACTCAAAGGGTGCATGGTACGAAAGTACAGTAAATACGGTATTCGCAGATACCGTACAATAGCATACCTGGACATGAATGGGCCACCGCAACACGTCAGACACATTGTTCCAATCCGGATGCCGATGCTTCTGAATGTACCAACGCAAAAACGGCGCCAAATCCCGTGCCGACGGCGGGAAAAACGCCAGACAAATGCACAAGAGTTCCCAGCCCCTTCGGAGACTCTCCCTCCGGGGATTCTCCCGCGTCTGCTTGCACAAATCCAGGTACAATTCGTCGCGAAGCCGCGGGTCTCTGCAACCCGCGCTCACGATTTTATGCGCCACCGAGGAAATAGTCATGCCGATTTTGGCACGCCGATCGCTCATGTAAATCTGCACGAGCTTAAACAGCTCTCGTTTCTCCTTGCGCAACGTCTTGTCTGCAGTGACGAGCAACGGCTGGGCCATGGCCTCCTTGGACCAGGACAGCAATTCGCGGACTGGAACGCTTTTGCGAAATAACCCGCGCTTCTGCACGTTCAGGTTTTCTTGGACGTAGCGATCCGCGACGTCTCCATGGGCGCCGTCTCCGATACCGGCGCCAGATGTCATGTCACCTCGGCCGTCGGTCAGGTCGCAGATTTTTCCGTTGCGAGCGCTTATGACGGATGGCGGCTGCGGCAGCTGCACAAAAACAACAATCAAGACCCAATTTATTTTCAGAATAATTCAACGCTTCTGATCGTAATAGAATGTCACGTAGATGTCGCTTGAATCACTGAACCGAACAAAAGCGACACAACCAAAACCGAGCAACCTCTCCGAACCAAACGTATGGACGTTTCGAACTCCGTTACGGAGAAAAGCATATCGGGCGTTGAAAAAAAAAATGAATCACCAAAAAAAAAAAGCCTGAACCCGGACCGAACGCAATACTGTACGATATAATTTAGACGTAGCGAAGTCCAGGGAAATGCTGGCGACACCCATGTAAAGACGAAGAAAATTGCAGTCTCTTGCGTCAATCATTAAGAAACCCCCCCCCCCCCCCAACTAAAATGATCTGGCCACGGGGCCCCGACATTCCAATTTGAAAAAAAAAAATTGTAAGCACGTCAGACAAAAAATCTCCTCATAGTGTCAAGATACGAACATTTCATCAACAACAATTCTAGACAAATGGAGAACATATTTTTTCCAAAATTTGGATATCTCCAGTAATAGAGCTTTCTCTACTCACAAAAATGAAAAAAGAAATTTGATCATAAATTAAATTAAATGCATACATACAGTATTCCAAAACAGGCTAATTTTGTGCATTTTTTCTGGGTTCTTTCCATCACCTAAGCACAGCATGAGACTACTGTAATTGCGCTTGTTCCTAGCTTTTTGGCGCCTTTTCATGCCAGAGGATCAGATTATGCATGGTTTTCTTCTGCACTGTTTTTTCTTTTTCTCGAGTTGGGAGAAATTATTTTATTCAATTTTTCGGGGGACTCTTTTCTAATTTTTGATCAACGGAGGAACGAATTAAATATAATCCCATTGAAGCTTGAGGGAAAACGTGATTCAACATGCGGACATTCCAACAAAGGGATAAGGACCAATTACGTCCAGATCTCGGGGTCCCACTGTAGCTTCAAGGAAAGCTTTTTCATTGATGTAGGGTCTGCTGGGACCTGAAAAAAAAATGCGTTACACAGAAAAAACTGCCGTAGGCAAAACTACTGGAGTCCAGTACAGTACTTCCAATACAACTAACTACAATAGTTGTCATCCACGTTCAAAATAAAAATAATCATGATACTGTTCTTCTCAGAAGACATGGTTCTTCCATTTTTTTTTAAATACCTTGTTATTGAAGAATGGTATCTCGACGACCGGAGAATAAATGTGGGGCTCGGACGGAGGCGGATGTCTATTCTGGAGCCCAGTCGACGCAGACGACGGTCTCAGCAACATCTGAGGAGGAACTTGGGATCTCGTTCTACTACTCCTGCTGCTCTCATTACCACCATCACGCTCGTAGGACGCTCTCAGTGCCAAAACAGGACCCGCATCTTCATCAGGACTGTCATAATTCGACGATCCTCCTTCTCCTCCTCCACCACCACCACCAACTCCAGCACCAGTGTTGCTCGATATTGGACGGAACACGTAACTCCGATGCTCTTCATCTTCATCTCCACCAGCACCACCACCACCACCGCGGCCATCCCGAACACTACCACCAACACCGCCACGGAATCGCGCGTAGGTCTCCCGCTCTTCCTCCGGATATGCATCGTCGTCCAGGAATTCTTGACTCGACGCTGCCGACATTCCTTCCTCGTCATCCGCGAATTCATCCGAATCATCAAACTCGACTAATCTCGTCTCGTCTTCTTCATCTTCCACGTCATCCTGATGTCCCCGTCGAGCCCCCGCCACTCTTTCTCGCTGCTGTCTTCCACAGCCTCGTCTTCGTCTCTGTTGCTCTCCTTGGATCCTCCCCTCTTCATCGTCATCTTCTTCGTCTTCGTCGTCGTCGTCTTCCGGCAAGAACCGGTAACCAGTTAATTTCCTCTGTTCCAACAAATACCGTTCCAAAGGTACAAGATTCCGTAAATCCGCCGATGCGGAACCAATATCGTCTTCTTCTTCTTCGTAAACGTCTCGCACTCGGTTAGAGGGCCTCGATGTTTGCTTGGACTTCGTCCTCCTCGGTTGCTCGTCAGGTTCTGTGCCTCCGGCCTTGTTCACCAGTCCACTGTGAAGCGATCGCGAGGGTCTGATGTTATTCGGCGAGATGACAGCCATTTGCTTATTGCCGGACGTCGTCAGCACGAGGCCCGGGGGTATGGAAGCACTGCTCATGGCGGAATTGCCAGTTTTGCATTTGAAAGACGAGGATGTGGAGCCGGAAGAAAGAGAGCCGAGTTTGTTGCTGGTGTTGTTGTTGTTGGTGCTGCTGCTGGGGTCTGCTGGCGGCATGTTGGAACGAATCGAGGTTGGTGGCGGTGGAGCAGGCGGAAGACGAGCGTGACGATTTAGGCCTGAGCTGGTTGCAGGAGAAGAATACGCGTCGCAAGACTTCTGGCGTCGATACAGCATCGGCGTGCAAAAACCTTCCACGTTGTTACCTGGATTATGTTTGAAGCGATAGTTTAAGTTATTCGAGATTCACCGCGCATTAAAATAAATTCAACCCCTCTTTTTTGAAAGGAAGTGAAAGGCTGACTGGGCAAATAAACCCTTGCCTTCACCTCCAGCATTCGGTTAATTCATTATAAAAGCAATTTAATGCACAGAATATCACCAATTACAATTTCCTGCAATTCTTTTTTTTTCCCTCAACAAAAATGCTTGTTTACGTAACTTGAAACCTCCCCAACTCGAAATTTGTTTTGCTGGTCCCTTGAAGTTCGACTGTACTGACCACCAGAAGATCCGTCGACGACGATTCCCCGGGAGCCGCCACTACTGCTGCCGCTGTGCACAAGCTTGTTCCGCCGTTGTGGTTGCGGGGTTGACTCGGAACCAAGGGATTTCTTTTCGAGGGAAGAATCTCCGCCGCCGTGCCGACTGCCGCCAGACGATGACAAGAAGCTATAGCTCCGGCCAACGAGGACAGGCAGCGAGGCGGCGGACGTGGATGCGGAAACGGATGGATCAACAACAACACCGCCACCGCTGCCTCGGGGTCGGCTCCCGCTGTCTCTTCGTTGCAGAAACCACTCACCCACTCCCACGCCACTAGAATACAAAAAAAAGAAACGCAGTTTGAAAAACGTATTACGGCTGGACGCAACGCATGTTATGTTACATAACACAACGAAACTCGGGCAGGTTCCTTAGGATATAATTCCAAGTACATGTATAACATTTCAAGAAGAAACATCTTTCGAAAGGAAGATTAAACATCCTTCAGAGTAGATAGATAAACAAGCTTTACTTGTCGCTTTTCAGCGTTCACAACGTTCAAACAATATTTCCTACATACTTCAGAGAAAAACTCAAATACTGTATTTCACATACTTTAAAATCAACGGAAATTTCCGAAAACAGGACAAACACAAAACGCACGCTACATAATGAGCACTATGAAGAGTCCCACGTTTTTAATAGAAACGCGAATCCCGTTCAAAAACTGGTATGAGATTATTCTGCGTGGGTTTCTTGTGCACGGTTATTTTCTGTATGTTGAAGTTAAGAAAAAAATGGTATCCAACTTTTTTGGGACTTTATTTCTTTCTTTTTTTTTTTTTGATGAACAGGAGAACCAATTAAATACGGTATGTTTCCTTAGAAGTCTATGGGAAAACGTGATCCGCCATACGGACGCTCCGACATACGACAAGGCCCAAGAACCAATTACGCCCGCATCTCGGGGGCCCCCCCACGGTTACTGTATTCCAACTCACCCTCCCAACATCGTCGGCACCAGCGGAGGGGTATCCGTCCCAGCACCTCCCCCCAGGACTCGATGATGCGTCGGTGACGACGAATGACTAGACGTCGACTGAGGCGACTCCAACAACACTGACGAATTAGTGGTGCCGGTGCCAGTGTCCCTGCGACTCGCACTTTTCCCGATCCGAGAGGCCAACTGCGCAGAGCCCAACTGAGGTGGCGGTGAAGACGAGGACAAGGGCGGGACGAGCTGCGCTTCTTTCCCACTGGACCCGTGTCGCTGGCGGTGTCTACTCTGATGATGATGGTGGCGGTGATGGGCGCCGCCGCCGACTCCGCTGTGTTTCCGGGGTGACGGAGGCGTCGTCTGCGTTTCCGAACACACCATCACCTTGTTGACACGGGGCGCCTCGCTGAAGCCATCGTCCTCGTCCGCATCTCTGTTCAAGGCTCTGTCTTCTCGCACTTGCGTATTCTGCTTCAATGTCTGTTTCAAAATAAATTATTTTTGCTTACTTAAAATGCACAAACTTCAGGATAAGAATCCAACTGAACGATAGTCCTTATTTACGCTAAAAATACAAAATAAATTAAAGCGCACTTCAGAGTTAAATCCGCTTGCGAAATCCTACTTCATAGATCCAGAAAAGAGCGTGCATGACATGTCACTGTCTTTCAATCTTCAGAAAAAAAAAAACTTCAAAATGCTTGAAGATTAAAAAGAAGCCTGTTCAAGTTGAATATCTATATCAAATGATTTTTCGTATCTTTCGGAGTCTAGATATTAGCAAAAATGGAAGGGACGCGAACCTTCTGAAAACCATTCGAACCAAAGAAAGACGAAAGAAGATAAAAAAAAAAAAATTAGCTGGAGTCCCATACCTGCAGTTTTGCAAGCGGAATGATGTCGCAGTTGTGCGGCCGATGCCAAACGGTCTTCTGGCAACACGCATTGTAGTAATAGAACCTTGACGTGTTGTGGTCGAATAGTTCCCACCACTGATTGTCGTCCGCACGTTTCCTATAATTCATATCACAGCACAGGAAAAAGGTATTTCAGCAAAAGGCAGACAAATTAGTTTGATTTTAAAATCTGCTGATATTTGAAATATCGTCGCCGAAATATCCCACAATTTTAAAAGCACTTTAATAACAACTTCGATATTCCCGTGATAAGATTATCCCGACAAGTTCGGGCTTTTTAACTTCGCCCATTTTTTTCTGAAATAGAGAGCCATCATAATTTTGACAGATAAAAGTTCACGTTAGAATCTCAATCCTCTCCATTTTAACGCTAAATTCAACGCAAATTTTCCTTTTCAATCAAGCTTTGACCTATTGAAATCTACAACGTTTCAAGCGACATCACAGAATGAAAAAAATCATGATTAATTAGGGCGACAAAAAAATGGGGTTTTCTCATTCCAACGTACAACAAGTTCATTTTCATTGTACAGATTGCACATATTTTTCATTGCAAAGCTTTTTGAGAAGACTAAAAATGAGGGCTTTAATATCGTCATAAGTAACCAGGTAGAAATACTTACACAGGTACCCCAGGAGGTGGTTCCCAAACACATTCCCCAGTAGTTAGATTGGCGTACATGTGCTCCTTGGTTCGGGGCTCCACGATCTCGACCCATTCCATGGCTTCAGACTTTTTCCTTCGTCTATCTGCAGCCAAAGAGTCAATTTTTCAAAAACTGTAATGAATTTAGTTACAGAGTTATAGCTGCAAAAATGACACTCACCTTGACGAAGAACAATGATCTCACACAAAAAACCTGCTCAAACAAGAGCCAGCACTCAAAATCCTTCAATCACTCAAGTCTCACATTTCGCCTCATCATACGACAAAGTTTTCGCGCAAAAGAAAAAAAAAACACACGTGGACCTGTGCGCAGAGAAGACCTCAGGTAAAGTACAAGCTTTTTTCATACGCAAAACATTCAGATTTTTCCAGTGGACTCGAAAAACGGTGCGGGGTCACGATCCATTCCGGACACGGGATGAGCACCAAAAGACCCCAAAAAATCCACACACGAGTACACGCCACAAAAAAATCACAGGTGTGTTTTCAACACGTAGTCTCATCGTTTTGCCAATCCTTTCAGAAGAGAATTTTATCATACGAGTTAGCATAGCATTTCTACGGTAAATAAGCACTGGAGATGATTTGGATTAAATTCGAGAAAACGGCAGTTTTAGAATCTAATTTCACAATCAATCCGCGTCTTGGAGAAACATTTCAAACGAACAAGGGAAAAGCATAGGCGACAGGAGGGTAAGAAAAACGTAAGTGACAAGTGCTTCAACGAAGATTCCCAAGCAGGCAACGAGATCCTGCAGCGAAAAGGGGGCCGCTTTTCGGATTTCAATCACAGAGCCTTCAGACCTGAGACTTATTCAGTAAAAACGATTACAAAGTACTGTATCAGCAAATGCGAAGACTTTAATTGTTTGAAATTTACGCGAATTCCTCAATGAATAAAAAAACTCGATCACTCAAGAGGGCTCCTCCTCCGCTTCACTGTCAGATACATTTCCAACAGCACGGCCTCTCGTCGTTTTCTGTGAACAACACGGTGAGCAACAAGAAAAAAATACGCACACAAAGAGGTGAGGAATGAAAAAAAAAACCTTTCAGAAATGCTTCAACGAATACGAACCATCTTGAGCAAGTCAATGAGCTTGCTGGGGTCTGAGCCGGTCATCAGGTCGACCATGTCCAAAGGCAACTGATAAGAAGCATACTCGGGAACTTTCATCTCTTGTCCGGACGCTACCAAGCGTATTTGCGTTTCTTCAGATGAATCATCATCATCGGATGTCAACTCCGTCCAGTTGAATAACAGTGCGTCAGTTGCCCCGCCGAAGGGATTGAAGTCCAGCAATGTTATGCAACCGGAATCCGTTGAGAAAACGTCGAAAACATCTTGATATAAAACAGCGAAAATTAATCCAAAATCGTACGCCTAGAAAAGTCAGGTTCCGTTTTTGTTGAACCCCGTGGTTTCCGGCATTTTACTTGTCAAAACATGCGAGGGTTATCCCACTTGCGCGCGACCTTGGTTATTTCAAGAGTAAGCATGACTTTGAAAAAAAAAAATTTCGATGAAGTCCATGATATTCCGAAGTTCTGGGATTTTCGTATAAAAATTAAATTTACCGCATGATGAGAAAACTTTCCAAGTACGGCTAGACATCTTCACCCATTTTAGAGTCACAGGGAAATAAAAATTTGTCAGGCCAGCTGAAAATTGAAATACGTTGTTTAAGCCATAAAATAAAAATACAGAAACGAGAATGCTTAAAACAACACAAAATTTTCCATTTTTCATTTGGTCTGACGAATTTTAGCAATCTGTGACATGGGGGGAGAACTCTAGCAGTAACTGGAAAGTTTTCACGCATCAACATGATGTGAATTGAAAAAAATTGTACGAATAAAAAAAATCCCAGAACAATACAAGTTCATGGGCTATACCCTGATTATTTTTTAGTGATACCTAGTCTAGAAATACTGTAACCAAGGTCGCACCCACGTGGGACAACCCTCGTAAATGTCTCCTACATTTACATTTTCGAATTCTACATGAATTACCTTCCGTTATACTTGAGATTGAGGCAAAAAGAACGGGACGAACAATCAGAAACTCGGGATTCAACAAAACATACCGTACCCATAGACTTACTCACAGCCTAACTCTTGAAAATGTTCTACAAAATTTAAATTAATGACGTTTCGTTGTACTGTAAAGTACTTGAGATTGAGGCAAGAAGAGCATGAGATTCAGAAACTCGACCACAGGCCTCAACAAAAACGCACCGCATAGATTTACTCACAGCTGTCCGAAGAAAATCGCTTCAACTTCAGCGTCATGAACTTGTTCAGGTCCCCTTTGATTTCTTCGTTCTCACCAGTCATGTGCGCGTAGTGAGTAGTCATGTCTCTTTGAGAAATGGCTGGAACAAGATACACGTTGCATCAAGCAGAGGATTAAATCATTCGTTAAAAGATTTAGGAAAGTATGGTAGAAAAGGAAGAGAAGAGCATTTGGTTAACCACGTCTGATGGGCAATACCAGACAAGAGCATATTACTCGGTGGACTTACAATCGTACCATAAAACTACAGGTACGGTAAAACCTTATCACAGTGAAACACAATTTTGGGGATTTTATAAAAAGTTTTAATACTGTATACAGTAAATCTGTTATACGGGGATCTTCAAAACAACGACCGGAAAAATGTTCACATCAGACCTGCCTACAAAAATGTTCGGGTATTCTCAGAATTTTTATTAATGTTCAAAAATCTGATTGGTCTTCAGAAAAAAAAAATTAGCTTCAATCATGCTTTCCATCAGTTGCACCCATCTCTTCATTCTGTGAGGATGATTTGTGAAAACAGTTATAAGTATGTTTGTCATTGATTACAGCTTCTATTCATGCTACAAGAACCAGTCAGTCACATTTGGGATCAGAACTTTCAGACTTTGCCTGCCTTAGTCAGGAAATTTTTACCTGGAGAATTTTTCAAAAAGTTTGATAACTGGAATTGAAGAGTTCTTTTTTTCATAACAAGATTGTTTTAAAATTTACTCCTTGGGCTTTCTGATATAACACAAGAAAATTTTATTTACTGAAAAATGTGTGGTAATTGTATTTGTTCCAACATGATTTTACTGTATTTTCTGCGTAACTGCTACAGTACAGTACATACAAAAAGTAAATATTGGAAAGAAAAATGCACAGATAACTTCTCAAAAAACCTCATCCTCCTGGAAAAAAAAAACTTCAGATTGTTAGCTCGAACAACAAAAACCTTGTTGCAGCTCATTTCTGAATAGGTTATTTTGAAAAGAGCCAAATAACAACAAAAAACTGACTGAATACCCGCATCCAACACTAAAATTCTCACCAATAAGCCGTCTGTTCCTCACAAAACACCGGAACTCCGTCGCGGGATTGACATCGATCCACCGACGAAGCACGAGGTAATAAGAAACGCTACAGTCCACATCCCGCTTATCAACGCAGTGGAAAAAAGGGTCACCGAGATCGTGTTGAACAAAAGTGGACGCTTTCAGCACTTGCACAACGTCTCCAAAGGTGTGACACAGAAGCGATCGGTTGAGTCCGATCCAAGACGCGTCTTTCGGCGAACTCCAGTTGAGCTTTGCAAAAACCGCACCACCGAGCTCACGAATCGACTTGGTCACGAGTTCCGCCAATTCCGGAAAAGAAGGGATTTCCGTCTCGTCGTCGTTTTCGTCGTCACTGTCTGACCAGTCCGACGATGATGACGAGGAAGAACGTTTTCGATTCGATACGATCGCGTCAGAAGAAGGAATGGCTTCTTTAGGCAAAATGAGCCCGTCTTCACGAAGGTAGGCAACGAAGTCGGCGGACAACGGCAGACACACGCTTCAATAGGAAGGAAAGATAAGTAAGTGAGTGAGTGCTTCGGTGATCTACGAAACAAGAGGAAACACATATACATATATATAAAATATAGATCTTAGCTTATCCGGTCCAGGGATATTATCCATATTTTATTCTACGAGGAAAGAAAGCATTTACTTTGCGGTGGTACCCCAGAAAATGCACGCATTACATCATGTATTCCCACTGTCACCTATTTTCACCTCGTATGATAAAATGCACAAAAAACTATTTTACATACTTCAATTTTTCATACTGAATCCATTAGCCATTATATATGCCGTACAGTAGCTTTATAACAACAGCAGAATCCCGTTACAACGAATCTTATGAAGAATTGACGCTTGAAACGATTTGTTTTTCAGCCCCCGTCCAATGGCCAGAATGTTAATTTTAATTCCGTTCCCCCAAATTATCGTTTAAAACGAAGCTTTTCTGAAGACACAAAAGTTTCGTTGTAACGAGATTCTACTCAAAATTATGAGCATTATAATACTGTACAGTATTTACTAAGCTTCGTGGATAAATATTTCGGATAAAACACTGACCTTTTGAAGGGATTCATGGCACATTTGCATTTCGTAATTCAGCATTATTTCAAGGTACAGTATTATTCAATTACAGGATCCGAAATTCCATATTAGAGCGAATTTCAACTGTACGATATCCTCGTATCAGGTCATTTTCGAAAAACTTTTCATCATTCGACGAATATAGCGTGTAATCAGCAAAGATAATCGGAGTTCAATGGTTCATTCGGATTAACAATTTTGATTACATACCTCGGAATGGTGATCTCGTGAAAGTCCAAGTACCATTGCGGGAAAGAACACGCCATCACATCGTGAACGTACATCGTTTCAACGCCACCGAATCCTTGAAAATGTCCGAAAATCAGTGAAATTCTCGGAAGTTGGCAAATCTCAAAATTGACGTCACAAATATAAACTTTCCTCGGAGCGAAAAAAAATTAAATGAATAAAAAATTGAGGTCACTGAAAAATTTAAATTACTTTTTACGCTGGATAACAAAATAAGGCAACTTGGAAAATCTCACAAGTCAAAGATAATAATTCGGTTTTTTTTACATGTAAAATTTATTTTAGACTGTGCTAAGATATTTTTCAACTGAACGGCTTCCAACAGCGAAGATAAACTAAACGATGGTTCCGAATAAATGATATGACAATCTTTACCCCGAAACGTCTGTCAAATTGACAGCTTCCGTACACTGACTTGGCACGTCACAACACAACGTACAAACGAATCACTTGAAATGAACGCGTTGAACGGGAATCCCTGCAAAGAAAAGTAAACAAAAAATACATCATGATCCCATCAAATTGGAATCTGATGACTTCGCATTAACAGTAAAAGCGAGAACTTTGGTCAGAAAAGTCGCCCGGCAAATCAAGTTGACCAACATTCGGTAATGAAAATCAATCTCAGGAGATCATTCCCTGAAACTTGAATTTGTGCTCCAAAAAAGGCAGAGAAAATTTTCCCAACAATTTCGGCACCGAGATTAGCCCTATTTGCGGTAAATTCCGCGGTCAACATTTTTTTTACGTATTTCACAAAGTTTGGATGAGATGCATGCATTCTTGCAAACAGATTGGCGTTACAAATTTTAGAGCGTTAAAAAAGAATTGAATAAATCAGGAAAACTTCGTCCACATAATTTCATGAAAATTCAAAAAAAAAATTCTCGAAGCACTGATTGAATTGGAACTTTCAGAGAAGCTCAATCGTCACACAAAAAGAAGCTTCGAATTCGGAATAAAACCGAAACATTTTACTATTGCAAATCTCAGGAAAATCCAATACCAAGAAAGTCCGTCACTGTCACGAACGATAATTCATCACATAAATTACGAATTTCTACAGACAAAGTAACTTTCTGATATTGTATACCCCCTTTTATAAGTCTTAGTCAATCGGGCTCTCGCTCAAGTCATCCCTTCAAAAAAGTATCGGGGGCAAAATCTGAATCAAAACTGTATAAATTACGAAAAAGAACAAGCGTATTTTCCGGCCAAGAACTCGCACTTCAACAGCGAATAAAAAAACCTGAACAAATTCTTCCTGGAAACAAATATCAAATGCTCCAAAGATTGAGAATTCTTTCAAAGCTCTTTCTTCCGACACATTGCGAAATCATATGGGTCAGGCGGGTTGTTGTTGCCGCTTCGAAGAGATCGTCGCCTGGATGACCTGTCGGATGCGAGAGAGCTTCGGTTCCACAAGTTGCCGGTCAATCCGGGTCACATGTCGCATATACTTGGAGCTCGTCTCCACCAGCTCGACGAATAACACGCAATCCGGATTACGACGGAAAAGGACGGACGAAGGATGGATTCGAACTGTTTCACCCGTGCCGACGACAGCGTAAGAACCATCCACTTGCCGCTCTGCACAGTTCATGAACAAGGCTTCGCTCAAGACTTGGCTCAGACGTTCTTCGTTGCCGTTGTTGGTGTTGTTCCACAAGTCGTTGGACTCGGCGAGTTGTCGCAATTGTAGTCGAACTTCCCAGGCATAACTCAAAGCACGATAACTTAGTCCGTGCTCGTCACAGAACTGTACAAGAAAAGATCGCAGCAACGGCCGAAAAAAATCAGAGATTTAAATACCTGTACTGCATGAACACGTACCACGCGCATCTTTTCTCTCAAAATTGAGGGGTGCGAGCATGGGTGGGTATACATTTTTAGAAGTTCAGGTGTACATTACAAAATATTTGATTATGATCTGAAATTTTGGAATAATTAACGATTTATGCCTAAATTCAAATTTGTGTTATTATTTTCGAAATATTGCAGTTTCAGAGTCATTAAAAATTGGTTTCGCGTCTTACTCAGGGATATGATTTAAAGAAAATTTTAGACTGAAAAACCTGTTTGCATGTCTTACTCAAGTGCATGTGGAACTTGATTAAAAGGTACTGTACTAAATATGTTCGAGGAAAAACGGGAATACAATATTAATACACTAGATCTTCAAAAATCTCATGACTACCTAACAAGCTAATCGATTCAAGGCGAAGAAAAGGCCAAAAACGTTGGATTAGGTAGCTTAGCATTTTGAAGGAAACCCTANNAATTCAACATTAAAGACCAATATCTTATTGAATCTCATCACATTCGCGCAACCTAATCCGATTCACGGCGAAGAATAAGCCCAAAAACTTTTTTTTCGACGAAGAAACCCGAAAAAATAAAAGAAAAAATATCGAAGAAGAATTTTTCAAAATGAGCAACAATTTGAGTAAGCCACAGAAAAGTACAGTACTTTCGAATGAATGCCTATCGAGAATATGAAACGTAACAGAGCGGATTTTTTTTTTTTTAGAACCTCGTTTCTTTTTTTCATAGTGCTACACAAGGAAGCAAAACTGAGAGAATCAACATCTTTTCTGCATTAGAGCGCAAAATATGGTACTACTGCATAAAGTAATTCATTCACTCATCGCTTCCGTATATGAATTCAAAGTATCCCGTGAATGCTACTGAAACCTAAAGCGGATCTAGACAAAAATATCTCCCGAAAATATTATAAATTTGAAAAGGAAAACAATCTCACATGTTGTGGACTGCTCGAAGCATTTCCAAAAGCGTTCTTCTTGCAGTTCTTCAAAACGGAACGATAATGTCCAAAAACACGGAGATAAGTCGGGAGATCTCCGTGAACTGATTCAAATTTTGCTCGCCTAGCAGCCACCGCATCGCCATCGTCATTCGCAGATCCTCCTCCATTAGCACCACTGTTGATTCTCCTTGAAGTGAATAACTGCTCAGCAGAAAGCAAGCTTACGATGGTTATCACGTCGGCTCTAAAACAAAAAAAGAAGCAGAAATCGCATTTGTCATTGGAAAATTCGTCTGTTCACAGCTGGTATATATAATAGCACAATACGTCATCCGAACTCCTCAAGTCCACTGGAGCATCTTCAAAAGGCAATGTTTGATCTTTCGACTCCATCAACTTCCTTTCACACGGACGTGGAAGTTTGTTTGTTCTTGGACAAACAAACTTGGAATGCTCGTCAAACGATATTGCATTTATTTTTTTTTAAGCTGTCATTTTCTCCAGGCTCAGGCTTCGAATAGGCATTTGCAGCGAAAAAAGTCAAATTTTCAAGATTAAGTGGGAAAATATCGCCTTTACGCGATTTTAAGTAACCCTCCCCCTGGGTTTTAATACAGAAAATTGAAATACTAATGATAGGCGAATACCGTATAACTTCCCTAGTGTTCTGACGTTCCCGGAACCTAAAATTACCAACTTAATTTTTTTCCACATAAAAGATAAAATTAACGGAGTCACAAAACTCTCCCTCCTCCCCTTCAGTCGATGACTCATGCATGTGCTAAAAGCTGACCTTTTCTTGATTGTTCTAATCTTTCAACTTTTAAACTTAAATTGAAAAATAACTGAAGAGAAGAACTTCTGGATCGTTTCGTGGGTCGCAAACAGGAAGATTTCCCAATGTAGATGTATATTTACGCGAATTTCTTTAGAAAGCGGATAGTGTCAAACCTTTTGCGTATAATTTCGAGGAACCAGCAAAATAATTAGAGTTAGGGAAGCAAGCATTTGTGTTGGGGAAGAAATACAAATTAAAGGATATTATAATTCGTGATATTCTGGACCTTGAATTGCTTCTTAAATGTGTTGAAAGGATCCTGAACTTGGAGGCAAGGATTTATTTGCCTACTTGGTCTTTCACTTCCTTACAAAATACTTCCACGTTACATTTTTATTCATTTTTTCTCCTGCGTCAATAAAATTAGAGACAAAAGTCCTCAAGAAAGTTAAGTCATGGAGGTTTTTGGGGAAGCATTCAAGTTAGGGAGGCTTTTAATGCTTTTTTTCTTTGGTAATTCAGACAGGGACTTGGAAAAAAATCGATATAGGGAAGATCAGGTCATCGAGGTTAAACTGTATATAAGCACACACCTAGCGTTTGACCTTTTAAATTCGAAAAAAGAGGTGCTTACATTCGCGTAAATACGGTACACGAAACAAACAAAAAACACAAATCAAAATAAATACCAGAAAAATGCAACTCACGAACAACCCTGTTTTGCGGCGTCACACAGCAGCTTACTAAATCTCGGATCCAAGGGAAATCGTGACATGTGGTAACCCAGCGGTGTGAGGGTCGCCCCGTGACACCGACGCAAGTCGTCCAGCAAAACCGCATCCAAAAGCCAGAGTTGACGAAGCGCAGACCGAACTGCAGCCCGAGGCGGCGCATTCACTAGCCGGAAAGAAACCAGAGAAGGCACTTCCGCAGCCAACAATTGCAGAGTGACGCCTGCCAGGTTGCATCGTAATAATTCGGGTTCGGGCAGTGCCGGCTGAGAGGTCCACTCTTCTCGGGTTAGCATCACACGACAGGAACCGGGTCCCAGGCGACCCGCGCGACCAGCACGTTGTTCGCACTGCGCACGAGATATCTTTCGGACGGCAAGGGTTTCCAGTCCTGTCCGTGGCTCGAATTCCCTGGAATTGCATAATGCAGTAAAATATCGTTTTACAACAATGCTATTGGGACCTGGGAAAAATGCCTCGTTATGAAGAAAAATTTGTCGTACAGTATAGCGATTCAAATATCACAATGTCTTTTGGGCACGGACCTGAAAACAGAATTCCTTGAAACGAACAATTCGCTACGACGAGATTCTACTATAAATTGTTATCTCGGATAATGGACTTCTCGCATAGAGGATTTTCCATAGCCTCGTGCAGCCACAGATTTGCAACACAGTCCTTCATTAAGCTCGAAAGTTACAGCGAGCAGTAAAAAATACCCCTCGACCCGCATCATTTTCAAAAGCGGTTAGAAATTGTCCGTAATCTTAATCGCGTGAAGCTCAGAATGCCTCTTTCAACGCGTTTTTACTCTGTTTAATCTATTCCAGACTTGATGAACGAACATTCTACGGGATCTTGATTTTCAGAGGATTTGACAAGGGGTCCATAAAGAATTCCTGTGATATGCGCTGCACAGTCTTGGACCAGTCGATGGCCTACCATAGTAATTTGCAAGCAAACCGAAGTTGTGACCTGTTTTTCTTCCTTTCTCCTGGTGAGACAAAATTAATGATAGTAACATCGCACTGATCGATGATTATCGACACAGTTCAAAATGCGAGAAACATCCGCTCTCATGGAACAGTTCCAGAATTATTAATAAAATTAAAGTAAAATTGCAACAATAAACGACACTCACAGGATCAGGCAGATCTCCATTCATCATATACTGTACAGTATTGATCTCGGAATCAACCTACCACATTTTTGCGAACGTAAGTACCCTTCTAGATTTTCCATTCACAAAAATGAAATTCGAAGAATAGGCGAATATGAACACCAACTTATTTTTCTGCTGTTCTGACCTTCCAGGAATTTCTGACTATTTTTAGGTTTTACGCAGAAAAACGGTTCAACACAACCCTCACTCATCCTCTTGGGTCCATGACTCATGCAACTTGACCAGCTAAAAGCTGACCATTTCTTGATCATTTATAACTTAAATTCCAAAAGAACTGGAGAAAGTAGGTGCTGGATCGTTTTGAAGAACGCAAACAGGAAGATTTCCTGATATAGACGCATATTCAAGCGAATTGCATGAATATGCAAATATATGCACCCCGCACCCTTAGTTTTTGAGCTTTTACAATCGGAAACAAAGGGGCGCTTATATTCGCGTAAAAGCGGGGTTCAGAACTTGATTATGGGGGCACACAAGTACTGTAGAGCACACTTCACGGTTCACCTGCGTCGAACCAAATCGCGCACATCTCAGCTAAGTTTCGATTAAAGAAACCGCGGGTTCTGAACAACCCGTCATTTCAACGAACACTCACTTGATCTTGGCACAACCACTGTCAATAACATGCTTGATTCCAGCAATCGTCAAAGAAGCCTCTGCCACATTCGTTGCCACCACTATTTTCCGTTTCCCTGGAGGCGCCGGTTTCAACGCTTCGCGCTGCATGTGATCCGGAAGCGCCGCATACAGCGGAGATACGACCGCCGGTTTTAAATTATTATTGCTTTCCTGTCAAATCAATTTTCAAATCGACAAAATCATTAAACGCAACTAGAGACACAACGAACTGTCTGAGTTCAGGCACCTTCATGGCATTCCGGAGAGACGCAACAGCCTCTTCAATCTCTTCTTGGCCCGTCAGGAATATTAAGATGCCCTCCCTGAAGAATGAATCAAACGTCAGATACATATACCCGAGGATGCTAATGTCGGAAAAGAATACAGTATTATCACAGGGGTACTTACGGAAGAGGACACTCTTTGTGCAACTGAATACAAGTACTCAGACAGCCAAGGACGTAATCATTGACTTTTTGTGCAGAGAAGAGGTAGTCCACAGGATGCTCACGTCCTTGCACGTACAGCATGGGAGCACCGTTCCAGAAATTTGAAAAGGCTTCGGCGTCCATCGTAGCACTCATAGTAACTGTCTGAGGTCGGCATTAGCGAACTATTACGCATAAGTCACAACACGAAAGATAAGCCACACACCTTCAGGGGCCCAGCAACACCATCGCACTTGCGTAACTGTTGGGCACGATAGACGATACCCATGACTATGTCTGTATGCAGAGACCGCTCGTGAACTTCGTCCAAAATAATAAACGAGTAAGCCTTAAGCATCTTATCTGCGAAGCAAATCCAGCTAAGTTACTCTAATTTCAGAAGAAAAACTATCAAATATTACCCAAAATAGCTTCACGGACCAACATTCCGTCGGTCATGTATTTGATTTTCGTCGCAGGGCAAACTTTTTCTTGGAAACGCACACTATATCCAACCAGTTGTCCAACTTCACAGCTTTTCTCCTGGGCTACTCTTTCCGCAACAGAAATCGCAGCTACTCGACGGGGCTATAAGAAACAAAAATTAATCATAACTGTATTTAGATGGAATGACTTTGAAGAATATCACGCGTACCTGTGTCACGCCGATTCTCAAGCGTTTATTCAGCTTGCTTTCAAGTATATATTGCGGAATTTGCGTTGTTTTCCCACTGCCAGTTTCAGCGACAACGATGACATTATCGTTCTTCTCGATTTGTTCTAAAAGCCTAGAAGGATGGGAAACGAGAGAATTACAGGATTGTTTCAGGGCCTAAAAGAAGCGGAGTGAACATACGCTGATCTTGCCGAGAAAATTGGCAAATGCTGTCGTTCGGCGTTTAGCTTCCCTAAATTTCCATCTCGAGGAATACCAATGATGCCCGAACCCATGGCAGAATCAAACCCATGAATGGACTGCGGTCGCTCGAAATGTCTCACTCCGGGTGACATATATCGACACAACCGGATATTTTTGTCTGTTCGACCACTGGCTCCGAAGAGATTGCAACACTGAGCTGCATCGATCGGTTCACCATTCACGCTCTTACTCGAACTATCGTCGTTGGCGTCATCAGAAAATAGAGATTTCAAGCTAACTCACTAACTTGCAAACGATTCACGGGCCTCGGAGGACACATTCGGCAGTATGCACAGCACAGTATTTTGCAATCCTTCGACGATAGCTAACTCACAAATCGCGCATGCAAGCTAGCACATCTCAGTTTGGAATACATTTCCGCACTCATGAGCATCGGTTCGGTTGGGTAAATTGTACAGCCGCGAATAAATTCAAGTGACCTCTTCATTATAAAACCTCAGCACAAATTTATTAACGAATTGAAACCTTTTTAGATGAAACTATCAGTTGAGAGAGTAGGATATCTTGATATCGAAACACACATTTGTTCGCTTTGTTCTGGATATCTAGTGCTGTTCATTCTGCTTCCCTTCACTGCAGCATATACCTGATATAGTGTCATATATCTGGACCAGTCTGAATCAATATAGATTGGAATGCTTTTGAGCCGAGCATGCACTTCTTCCTGATCAATTACTGTACTGTAAATGGATGAATATTAATTAATGATAGCAGCGTTAATTATGAATGCCATTGGAGTTTATTCCGGAAGAAAGCGTATCCATGAAGAAAGATGAGAATTCCATCTGACATGCATGCACATATCAAGCACCTGGGTGCCTTAATTGCCTCCTGTGCTGGATAATTGAAAGAAATATAAATGAGGTGATTGTTCTGAATACGGAGGTACACCAGTATGAATTCAAAACTGGTTGTTTAATAACTCTGTATAGCAGGCCCTTCAAGTGCACAAGCATGATGGCCTGAGCAACTCGAAAAGGTTCATATCACAGCAGCTCATCCAGCACTATGAAGAAAGAAAGGCATTCCTCTGAGGCAGGCTCTCCAACAACAATAAAGGATAGGAAAAAAAGCATCGTACCTTTTTATTAACAGCATATATCTTGATGGAGATGCTTCCTCCTGATTTCAAGAAACCGGTTATTCAAGTAAGCAGGTGCGTTGAGTAGGGTGGGGCAGGACATGTTTTTGTTCCCCACTCATGCTTGTTCTCACAAGAAAAGGCAATCCGCTGGTCCAGCAAGCTGCGGGTCAAACAGAGGAAGGGGTCATATAATTGAAAATCCAGCTCATACAGTGACAATCCAGCTCATACAGCCCACAATGGTGCAGCACTTAATCTGCTCACAAACCATATACAGTATTGAGCACAACATATTCTGTTGAAGGATTTTCTCGAAGCAAATAAGTTTCCCATTGAAGAGTGGCTTACAGTATAACTTCTTTTTAAATATCAAAAGCTTAGACTATGAGGTGAAAGGCATCAAACGTTGGCAAGAACATAACTCTCTATAATAGAGAGAGAGTTCACCGCGTATAATTACAGTATTTTTTAAAATGTAGAATGTGGAATATAATGTTGTGATATTATACTACAGTATACTTTCAAATGACATGAACTGTGTTGGGGGAGTCGGAACGTACAAAACAGAGTTTTAAATTTATTGGTCCCAAAATATTCATTTTTGCATAAAATTGCATGCAAATACATGATATGGTCTAGTTTTTCCATTTATTTTGGCGAGGTCTACCCTAAATAAAAAGCAATAATAATGTTTGATGATTTATGTTGAAGGGTAAATTATCAGCATACTGATAATTCGCCCTTCAATTACCTGCAGATAATGTTTCCTTATTATAAATCATTCTGTGAATCGGTGTCGCCTTTGTATATACTGTACTGCTGTATATTCAAGTGTAACACAGTATAATACAACTGTTACAGCACGGACTACGAAACTCTTAACGCTACCACTGGTAGTGAATTAGCCCTACTCGTTTACTCACTGTCATGAAAGCTCTCAGGGGTGCGCAGAGAAAGGGGAGCGGTTGAACCATCATCATACATGGTGGCAACACTGTTTTCACTTCTCATCAGCAGTGCTGCATGGAAGAGACAAAGCTTCGCGGACGATGCTGAGTTCCCTCATTCCCGTTTTTTTCCTGTGAAATTGTTCGAAAGCTAACTAAACTTGGAAGAATTATTGTTAATTTCACTTATATGCTCGGGATTCGGGAAGAAATATTCGTGAAAAGTTCAAGTTAAAATAATTAGCTTGGGAATGATACTTATTGTCGATTGAGTTCCAAGCGTTCGGCCGCGAAGAATTGTTCGTTGTGACGACGATGAAGTCGTGCGTGATAGTGCAGATGTCGCTTTACATATTTGTGACCGTCACCGCAGAAAGCGAAGTTCTATATTCTTTCGCTCTGGTAGTCTTCAAGTCGCTTTCGTTATTTCCGGTTCACTGATGCTGCAGGCCTTCGATAATTCGTGAATTCTTGATATGCCTGCTGGAATCAATTACACAGTGATGGGTCGGTGCTTTTGTGGTTCCGAGAAGTTCTTTTTGTACGTATACGTAGTCGTAAAATGCGCTTGTTTTTTCGCGTTCGAACCGCACTGGAAAAGTCTATTGCGCGGAACGATTGCTTTCGGAACTGTGACCCCGAATCCTATGCTGTGTATGCTGAATATTCCGAATATTATATACTATACCCCGTGTCCACATCCTCATGCACTTCGTTGTCGCTGTTCGAATTCCTTTTTCATCTCATCGACGATCGAGTGCTGCGTGATGCGCGATGCAAAGCTTCCATTTACTGTATATTGTTCACGTTGGAAAAGAGAAGAAATTCAACAGACCAGACGGGGAAGCGGAAAAAACGCGTTTCTTTCTCAGAAAACGACTGAACCGTTGGTCCAATTAGTGCGTGTCTCTGCCCTTTTATAATTGTGTCTCTCGATTATGGTGGATTTTATGTTTTTCTTACTTAATATACTATATATACTATAGCTATAGCCATTGATGTCATTCCTATATAGAAAGCATCATTGATGGTCAAGATACGTGATGCATTGCCTTTAAATAACTAACTTGCTGGTTTTTTCGATCGAGTTCGTTCCGCGGAACGTTCACAGCATGTACAGCACTGCAGTATTATGTTTATAGCCGGCAAATAAAAAAAAATTAAAAATCATACTAAAATTAAATAACTATTTCCTGCAATTGTTAGAAAATTAAAGACCAACCCCGTCACAGCAAAGACTGCGGACAAAGCTGAGGTTCAGCATTTTATACATATTCATTAGTTTGGATTTGATCAAAATATTTTTGGGTATAATTCAAGTTACGAATAACATGCCAAACGTTTCCTATATATAAATGTCAAAATTAGGTAGAAAACTGATGGAGTAGATTTAATTTTGTTCGGATATTAAATAGCTTAGTTTTGGTTTGTCAAGTTATTTTTCAGACAAAATGAGCCCAACAAAACTCATGCTAAATAGGATTTGTATACTTAAGAAACCCTGTGCTGATGCTTGGAAATTTTAAGCTTTTTTGGAATATCCATCCTTATTAATTTCTAAGAAAAACTTAAATCAACAGAAAGTGCTGGTGTTGACCAGTTATTCAGAATAAATATTTGTGATTAACATTCAAACTTCTTTTTGAAGATTCCAGTTTTTTAAATGCCAAAAAAGCTCAAAAGGTTACAAAAGGATGATGTTAAATGTATGCAGGGTTAATTTTTAGAAAATCTTCCTATCAGTCAAAAATTTCAAAAATCACAGTATAAAATTTTTTTTAACAAAATTTTTCTGAATTCCCCACAAGTTTGTTGTGATGAGTTTTCACTGTAGCTTGTCCACATGATATATGACACATGCAAAACCTGTGGCCTGTGCAATATTTAAAAAGGTGAAAATTGACTTTTTTAAATATGAAGCTATGGTACAGTATTCTTAAAGGTATTATATATGTTCAGTGCAAAAATGCTATTCTTCACTGTGTGTATCAAAATAAATGAATAATACAAATCATGAAGCTGTATTAGTTGGAGCAGTAAAATAAGTTTAGTGAAAAAATCACGCTAAATTCATCAAATAGAACAAGAAATGATGATGCCTTATGTCGTCTTAAATTTTCTGTCGCAGAAGAAATTCGTGGCATTAAATATATCCCTTTCTTGCAAAATTGCCGCCCTAAATTTAATTAAAACCATGATTCTCAGTTTAAAGAATTTTCAAATTCCTTAATACTGTACTGTATAAGGTTTTTGCTATGATATTTCATATTTTTTTAAGCCTATTTAGTGAAATAACGTGGTGCTGTTCGGGTCACAGGTTTTTGCAGAATACATGAAACAGAATGTTGCCTTCATCACTTCGTTGAAGTCATTTCCAATATATATTAGAAAACTCTGAATGTTAATAACAGAATATGTTCAATAATTTCTGGATTAGTTTATTTTCGGTTCAATCAATTCAATATTACGTTTTTAAAGTTTTTTTGTCGTTTTAAAATTTGGGTAATTGCTGAAATTCTAGGTGAGCACGAAAAAAACGCACTTTTTTTTATCTCGCGTATTGTAAGTGGAAGCAGATTCAGAGTGATGATATTTTCTACCGGTTATGTAAAAAAATTCTTCAATATTTTGCGCAGAAACCATTCGCAGTGATCTTTAATGAAATAAAGGAAATTTTTGGAATTTCTTTGCTATTGGGATTGGCGAGAAATCCAATTTTCCCTGGAAGAATGGAGAGATTCAAAAAGTCGTGGCAAGCGGCGAGTCTGCAGCATTCCTACGGGTCTTGCACTATCGAGTTCCCGGAAATCCGGCTGCATTTGGTGAGTGAATGTTTAATTTTCTATCGTTAGTCTGTGATTTGAGTAAATCATGTAAGTCAATATCGAATTTGTATTGAAATAATTCTTTTTAAATATAGTCATTAAGTATAGTCAAAATAGTCATTTATATGACGCCGCGAATATCAATTGGTATTCCCTCTGAAAAATTTGCGAAAATGAGAGCGACGATGATAATAAAATTGCGATGGAAACATTCAAAATTTTGAAGACTTTGGGAGATTTTTTTACTTTTTAAATAAAACGGAAAGTTTTGTCCTGAGTTTTATAATTATTTCGGCTGTTCAATCAGGATTCCTCCAAGATTCTCGAGATTGATGTAAGAATAAAATATGAAGGAAGACACTAAAAGTTTTCAGATCATGGACATGATTTATTATTTCTCTTGCCATGGAAATTGTTTAATGAATTCAAAAGTTGGTTCACGAGTTTCATACATCAATCTGATCCCTATGTTTCAATCAAGAATCTGTAATTCTAAAGAAATTGAAATAACATTTCTGCTGGTCAAATTGAAAAAAAATTTGACACGTTGTATTCTGCGATTCTATCGTTCAAAGGTCGTAAGCAGCACTTTTGAATGAATACGAAAGGATATTTTTTTATTTTGTGGACATAAAATAAGGAATAATTTTCATCGGACAGTAAAATCTCGTTATAACGAAGCCGTTAATAGGACCAGTAAAATAGCTTCGCTGTGACGAAACATTCGTTGTAAAAGAATAACTGTTTCAATTAATATTATGGCTATTGGACAGGGACCTAAAAAAACAATTTTTAAAAATTCAATATTCGTTATATCGATGTTCGTTGTAACGAGATTCCACTGTTTATCAATGATGTAATTTTGCTAAGAAGCAGTTGCGATGCGATGACGTGAATGAGTAGTAGGTTTTCCAGACCACAACCATCCGAGAAAAGTCCTTGTACGGAGAATTTCTCTGTACGAAAAATCGTCTCATTTAAGTAATTCCCATTACTGTACTTTAAAAGTTTCAAGCCATTAATTCGGAAATATTTGCCGACTAAATCTTGAGATATTACGATATCATTATCAAAGAATGCAGGAAACAAAGTATTCATTTATTTATTCATTCATTTTATGAACCCAGTTTTGAGGTCAGTTGTTTTTTTGAAGATCATGTTTGTTGCAGCATCACGTGTTCACAATCCGCACTAAAGATGCCCCTGCATTGATAACTGAATTAATTCTCTTGTGCATCTTCCAGTAAAATTCTCTCTTACTGTATACTAATCATGAAGTTTGTATCTTATACAAGAAGAAAGAAACTGACACGGACACAATTCATGCTCCTGAAAATATTTTCCTTGCCAAAACTTGATTTCTTTTCTATATACAGTACAGTCAAACCTCGTCTCCAAGTCGAATTTCAAGGGACCAGCAAAAATGCAACTAAGGGAGGTTTTGACTTATACAGGTTTGAGCTACAATAGAAAGCCTGGCCCTTTATTCTGGGGGACTTAAAATAATTGCCCAAAGTTGTGAATGATGATATTCTGGGGCTTAAATGGCTTCTTAAATGAGTTGAAATGATGCTGAACTTGGAGGCAAGTGTTCATTTTCACAATTAAGTCTTTTACCTCCTTTAAAACACACCAATTTCTGTTCTTATTGCTTTTTTTCTTTCTTGGGTCAAGAAAATAAATGGCCAACAGGCCATGGAAAATTTGACTTACGGATGTTTGATGGAAAAAAGCCTTTGACTTATGGATCTTTTTAATGTATAGTTTCTTAGGGGATTCAGATGGGGACCTGAAAGAAATTTGACTCAGGGGTGTTTGACTTAGGGAGGTTTGTGTTATCAAGGTTCACCTGTATAGTCCAGATAACAACTGAATCTGTGGGAAATAAGCTTTTTTGGTCACATTTTGTTGCTGTCCAAATTCAAAAGCAACACATGGGATTGACTTTTGGCTGTGGATCAAGAAATAAATACTGTATATAGAGGATTGAAAAGCAGATTCAGTCCAGGACAAGGCCAGGGATTCTTGGTAGAATCCTTAATCCAAACTTTATAATACATTCCAAAATTGTTCCAATAACTTCCAACACAGCAAATTAACATTAAACAAGACTTCTGAAATTGTGTACAACAGATATATAACTTCTCAAAAAAGCCTTTTCTGGACACAACTGCTTTCAACAACAGAACACAATGGACTGATGAAGATATTCTATATTTTTGTTTATTTATTGATTTCTTCATCTCACCCTCTTGATCCAGTATTCTGATGAAAGATGGAATGAAGAGAAAGGCCAGTGATTATTGGCCACAAAAAAAAAGTTGAGTCAAAGATGTCTTGGTGCCAGAAATTTTGATTTTTTTGTAGGGGGAATTTGTTGTCAATTTTCACTGGACTTTTTCTACTTGAGTGGTTTTCCACCTGATTTGATTCTTCCCCTAAATTAGGTTTGTGTCTCAATTAATTGAGGCATGCAGTGGGTCCCCAACACACGTCAATCTTTTCAGCACTCAAATAACTTAAAAAGTTAGAATCAATACTGAGGTGTACCACAATGGTACTTTCCTGTTATCTCAGTACCTCATTCCTAGACCACACTACCATCCAGACAAATCTTTAGGACAAGTTCATAATCACGACAATCTACCAGAAACTGTGAATTTTATTGCAGAAACTGATTTTGGGAGGTAGTTAGGTGAAGTTAGGTTAGGTCAGGTTATATTGGTCAGAGGGAAGGTACAGAGATAACAGGAAAGTAGGTACTGAGATAATAAAAAAAGCAGAATTGTTCTTAATTCCCTCAGACCCAAAGTATTTGTTTCATCTCTGAAGAGAAAAAACATACCTAAAATCCCTCTTGAAATAATTCTCGCTAATCCAATATAAAAATATGTAGTGTCTTTATGAATTTTCCAAAGTTAGGTTTATTGAAAAAAAACAATCACTTCCGCCTGAATCCTTCCGATTAGATCGCCAGTTAATTTCAGAATATTTGCTATGCATTTTTGAAATTTTAACCTTTCCACTAAATTTATGCATAGTTTGAAACAACTATTTTCAAAGAATCCCAATCGCGCATAATAACCAGGAAGCCCTGATGTTATTTCTTCAAAGATAGCTATATACACGGCATGTACGCAAAAACTTGCTCATTATATCTTGATGTTAATTGGGGTACGAGTCAAGCCAGAAAATTTAAAATTTAAAACTAAGGCTCCGCTGTTGTGATGCCAGATTCTTGGAACAACAATCGTAAGCTCCTCATCTACTTCGGTGAAAATTTATGCCACTCCGAAAAAGTTGATCAATCCTATAGACTCGCATCATCAGTATAATTTCTCACTGATGACTTTTAATGATAAATTTGTTTCTCTTCGATGTGGAAAATTTTTGTAAATTCAGTTTCTTCAGTTGTTTCTCGTATATTTCGCCGACTCGAGTTTAATAAGTGATGCAACTGTGGAGCCAACTTCTGCAATATTATGTTTCTCAAATAAAAAAAATTGATGCGACTAAGGGATCTTGCGAGATGCTCACTTTTGTGGACCTACATTTTTCTATATGTTGACGATAAGAATCTGGGAAACCAAGATTTTTATCTCACTATAATGCACAAGCTTATTCTGGTGGAATAGTAACCTCAAAAAACCTAGTTTGGGAATGGATAACTGATTCTAATCCTGTAACACCTATTGGTCTTTTAAAATTTATGTTGTTGGCATGAACCATTATCGGCGGGTGTGTATTTATGTATTTGAGGGAATAAACTTCAATATTGTATTTTCTAAGTATATGAGTGACATCTATCCGGAGTTCCGGACCCATCATCTTCCGTAAGTTACCTGTGAAATACACCTTGATCTGCACTTATATGTTAGGAAATACAGTACAGTGAGACCCCCACATGCAGACACCTTGACCTGTGGACAATTTGACATTGTGGACAATTTGACAATTTGACACTTATTTTACCTTGAAAAATTAATAAGAAAGGCCCAACATGAGGACACTGACTCAACATGGGGACATTTTGTGATAAAATTTCAAATACATTTTAGGCCAAATTAAAAGAAACTGATACAGTATTTCCAACCCTAAAATTGATGTAGATAATGTCTTATTGGGCATTTCTCTCACCAATTTACCATCCATTTAACTAAGTTAAAAAAAATTACCTCCAGCATAGAGGGACTTCCTTCTCTCTTTTTTCCCTTGAATGTTATTTTTACAGAGAATGCCAACATTTCTATGTACTTTACAGAGTTATCAGTATTCAATTACATAAAAGTGTATATATTGTGTTGAAATATATTGATTGAATCAGTTTAAATTTGCAGTCAATTTTTATTTTCATGGAATTATGATGTTGATTATTTTGTACATAAAATACCAATTAACAATTATATAATGTAAGTCTGAGAAAAAATGAGACTTGACTTAGGGACACTCTTGATGCACCAAATTATGTCCACATCTCAGGGTCTTATTCCTGCATTCTTAATGTTAAAAAACATTTACAGTACTTTGAAAGGTTAAAATCGTGAAATTTAGCTCAGTTTTAATAAAAACCAGGACTGCTGGGCAGATAGATATAAAAATCTGATGGATCTCAGAACATCGAAAGCAGTTCTGACATTAATGCAGGAAAAATTAAGTGAACGTGACCAGATCCTACATTATAAGAATAAGAATACCGACGGACTTCGGTTGAGTGCTTTTTTACTTATTTATTTTTTTAAATATTTTTCTTGGAACTCAGTAGAGATTTTTATTCTTATCGGTACCTGCAATTCTTCTAACTTTGATGCAGTATTATTTGCAGCTTGTCAAGTACAGTACTCGAAAATATCTATACATTCATTATGACACATGCAGCACACATGCACACCCGCGATTTTAAATTTGCCTTGCATGAATTGCGCCTGGTGTCCCATTCAGAAGTTTGTGGAATGTTCAGGAAATTTCGCGAACCTTCTTCGGGCGACATCTATCTATCCATCTTATCCTTTTATGGAAGGGTGTGTCGAGGTCTCGAGGATATATTCTCAGTTCAAGCTTCCATCGTATCAGGCCAACAGTGTTTCACGGATAATTTATTTTAGGTCGATTTGATTTCGGTTCATTACAAGGATTTTGAGGAATTTTCTGTATTGTAGTGTAGGGGAACCTGTTAAAGGTTCCCTCAACCACCAGTGAAGGTTAATTATTCTGCTTAACCTCATTACTTTCTCAAATGAGAAGGGGAATCTTGCTCTAGACCAAGAGGAACACAATAAACTTGTAACTTCTATTACTGTATATATACTTTTTGGTGTCAAAACCAACTTTTTCAATGGGTGATCCTCAGAAATGTTCAATGGTTTTTTGTACCAAAGGTTCAAAAGTGGAAATACTGTATGCAGCATCCGGAACAGATTTTTAAAAATTGGATTATCTTTTGTATTTTTCTTGGATGAAGAGAGAAAATTGATGTCTTCAATTTGACGGAGAATAGGGAGAATATTGCATCTCAAAAAGTTGTGCAAAAGTTATCAGTGTGCAAATTTTTGAGTAAGTGTGAGTGAATGTTTTCCGACCAGTTTAAAAAATCATACTGTCTATGTATATAATTCATTTAAAATTTTTCCATTTTGATAAGGAAATTTATGAACACTGTTGTAGAGCTCAATATGTATTTTGAAAATTGCTGAACATTCAAAAAACCTACTGAATTGTCAGTAAAACTTTCCCAGAGAAATGTCCCATGCATTCACATCAAGATTGGAAACATGATATGATATATGCAGAATATTGTACCCTGGAACATAATTACAAGATTTTTATGTAATTTATGAAAATAACGAGAAAATGCGTGCAAAATTGGTGTTATGCGTGAGCGGGTTCTCGAAGTTCTGGACAAGTGTAATTTTTTTGCAGTTGAAACTTCTGAAAGTCTTGTGTATAATTTCAAATAATTTAAAACCCCTGTAGTTCTCTATTCAAAAATTTAAAGCAATGTCAAAATTACCCCTTGATGCTGGCTGTGGGTTCAAAATTTCAATGTATCACAAATAAATGAATAAAACACACTGTTTTTAGCCTGTAATTTCAATAAAGCACAAATTTGCTTGAAAATAAAATTTTTGTGAAATACAATGAGACCCCCTCATGCAGACACCTCAACATGGGTACAATTCAACATAGGGACACGTATTTTTCAAACAGAAATCTTTAAAAAGGCCCAACATAGGGACACTGACTCAACATGAGGACATTGCATGATGAAATTGGCAATGCATTTTAGGAAAATTGACTTTTATTAGGCTTAATTGCAAGAAACAGATATGTCCAACCCTAAGATCTATGCAAGAAAAATGCTTTGGTACTTTTCCCATCACTTTCCCATCCAGCATTCAGCTGATTCAAAAAATTACCTATTGCACAGTGGGACTTCTTTCTCTCTTTGTGACTTATGGATGTTATTTTTACAGATGCCAACATTTCAATGAACTGTACAGCAGTATACTATTCAATGCTCCAAATGTTCTTATTGGGTTGAAAAGGTATTCACTTAATAAAATTAAAGTGGCAAAACATTTTTTTCACGGAATTCTGGAGAATATTTTTTCCATGAAACACCAATTAAAAATTATATATAATGTAAGTCTATTGGAAAACAAGACTTCACTTAGGCACAATTCAACTTACAGACACTCTTGATGCACCAATTATGTCCACATCTGGGGGTCTCACTGTAATGTATATGTAAGCGGGCCTTTCCAAAGTCTGCCCATCCTTGCATTTAAAAAAAGGGAAATTAAGAAGTTCTAAGACATTGTGGTTTTGGTAAAATTTTCAGTTTCTCTTTATTTTCTGAGGAATAGGGATTTTTTTATAGTGCAAATTTCAATTCTTTTGCCGTTCTTATCTTCTTCTTTTGTTTCCCGCGCATCACCGAAAAAAGTTTGTCAAATGCAAAAAAAAAACTGAATAAAAATATGGTGCATGTATTCATCAGGTGGACGACGACGACAATGTCGAGTCAACAACAATACATCATCCCAAACAAGAACTAGAACGAGCCAAGCAATTTGAAATTTGGCAGCAGCAGCAGCGTTGCCAACGACAGCAGCAGGAGCTCTTCTTGGGCCGCGTTCGCAGCGCGTCTCTCTCCGTATCCCGATCCCTCATATCCTCGGGCTCCTCATTGTCTTTACACGACACCGACGCCGACATCGACATCACAACTGCTGACGAACCCTGCCAGAAACAGCAGCAACACGATCATCATCATCATCATCATCATCAGGAGGAACCCCTTTATGATGGATCCCGGAGGGAATCCTGGTCCCCGCCGGGTTCCGTACCCGTCAATAACTGGCCTCGACACCCGTCCCTGCGACACTCGCTTCTGACGACAGCGATTGTGGGACACTCGTCAGCGTCGACTGAGGCAATCCATGCGTTGTACCGGGTGTCGACGAAAATTGCTGTAGAGGAGCAGCAGGAGCAAAAGAAGAAGAAGCAACACCCAGTGCTGCTGGCTGTGCAGCACTGTGTCAGCAAGTCACAGAGCTGGACGAATTTGCATTGGACTGGGACACCGAATCATCCCAACATGGCGGATGCGACAGTCAGGGGTGAGATTTTCATATATATATATTTATATATTATATATGCAGTGAGACCCCTGTCAGGGGCTCTTGAGCCTCTCTGGCAAAGACATAGTTTTCCCTTGTTGAAAAGCAAAAGAGAGATGTATACACAATTGGCTGTTTACAGCCTGAGGTAAATACCTCAACGTTGGTTTATACAGTCTTCAACTTTTGATGATGTTTGAAAATAGTCAGCACACACAATAATAGTAGTTCAGTTCTCTTCAGAGCTCAGAAGTCAAGTGACACTTTCTTCAGATGAATTTGAGCAGGTTCAGGCCCTCTTCCAGTGGAAAGTTTCCTCAAGGCTTTCTGCTGGTATGTCCAATTGTTATTTGCACAGGATCCAGTTAATTCCAATGATATTTGTCTAATTGGCACAAGTGGAATAAGCCTTGGAGATCATTATCTCCGAGGCTGGCCTGTTGTGGTTGGTTTCTTTGGAATCTTGGTTTTATTCCTGCTTGTATTGTGTTGATAATTTTTTATGTTTGTAAAAAGATGTTTTTAATTCAAAATACAAGGACAATGTGGTGTTTTGTACGCCACATTGTTTTCTTGTACTTTCCAATGCCTGTTCTACTTGGGCAACATCCAGTAGGCCCAAGTTAATTGGCGTGTTAGTGGGCAACATCTGGTCAACCTGTGACAACCCCAATATTCAGACACCCCAACATATGGACAATTCAAATTAGGTTCACTTGAAAACCAAAAAAATCAGGCCCAACATGTGGACATTGGCTCAAGTTAGGGACATTTTTCTGAAATTTCCCCTAAAAAATCAAAACATTTCATTTTTAATTTTGAAATCTTTTGAACAAATAAAGCTATTTATATTCACAAAAATTAAAAAAACAATTCATAATAAATGCACTCTAATTCATGATCAAAAGCAAGCTGATTTTGTGCTTCTTTTTTCCCAAGTTTATTTTCTATCATCTGTGCATATTCTAGCTTATTCTTTTTCTTTGCTTTTTGATTTCCTTTTGATACCAAAAGATCAGATTCTATGTGCTTTTGTTCTGCACTGTAGTTTTCTGCTACTTGAAGTTGAGGCAAACAATTTTTATTAAATTGTTTGAGGACTCATTTATATTTTTGACAGAAAGGGGAACCAATTGAATGCATTAGCATTGCAATCTAAGGGAAAATTAGACTCAACTTGGGGACATTCTGACATCAGGACACTCTTTATGCACCAATTATGTCCACATCTTGGGGTCTCACTGTACATTATGGTAATATGAATTTCCCAGTGGAACAACTGCAAAATAATTGGAGTTTTTGTATGTGCATAATACATGAATGTGTTTTTTGCAAATCGATTTTTTTTTGTGAGCCAATTTTGAAAAAAATATGCATAAATGTATATGAAGCATTTATCGCCAAAGAAATGTGCTCATGATGTATTCTTGCTTTAAAGAGGTTTTGAAGCAAACCATGAAATATGAACAGGTACTCAGAGGCTGCCAAATTTTAAGTTACCATGCTTAATGCATGAGAATCACTAGCAGAAGCCCTTGAGTAAAATGGGCACCTTATGCTTTTTTCTGCATAATTTGTCAAAAAATAAACTATTCCCCATAAAGTCTAAATTGAAAATTCGTTTCTTAAAAGTATGATTTGTAACAAAATAATATGGCATAGGTTGATGAAACAAAATCAAAGGATTGCTACAGAATTTCTGTGAAACCAGATTTCCTGATCATTATACTCCTTTATTTCAGGCACCAGATATTTCAGGAATTTCAAAAGTTCACTGGATACGCAAATAAAATGTGAATTTTGCATTCAAAATTAAATTTCTAGTGTACAGGTAGACTTACTCTGCAAAAAAATTCAAGGGACCAGAAAACATTTGTTATAGGAAGAATTTCATTGTAAAGAATCCCTATAACATGGATAGAGAACTTTATTTGACCAGATAACAATTTTCATAAGCAGAGGAAAATCCTTATAGACAAGATTGTTGTGGAAAGTGCAGTGATTCCAACTGTATTGTTTTTTCTTCTAATGTTATAGGGCTATTTTATGCATAAAAAAGCATAGGTTAATCAATTTGATCTTACCTTTCATTTAAACCTGCATTTATAAATTTAAATATTTTAGTTTCGAAATTATTTGACTTTGAGGAATTGTCAGGAAAAATTCATGCCTGAGGATCATTTGCTAAATGCCCAATTGTTGGTTCAAATTTCTGGGGAAAATAATTGTGCGTTATACTCGTATAAATACCTAAATCTTTATAATAATACAAATATAACGAATATTAGATTTTAGAGGAAGATAAGTTTTTCAATATTATAACTGATCAAAACTCTTTCCTTTCGCTTAATAAAACTTTGGGGTACGGTTTATTCGAACTCAGATAAATCGAGCTTTTTTATATATATATATATTTCTGTGCTTTTTCGGTTTTTTTTATAGGTTCAGAAGCAGAGATAAACCGTCATCGAACATCGTCCATGTCTTCATCGTCTCAAACTTCTGCTTTGCCGGAAAAGCGTGACCATCACGTAAAATCCCCGAAATCCCCAAAGTTCTTCATGTTTCCTCAACACAAGTTGACGACTTCCGCTTCCGGGGAAGAGAAGGGAAGCAAAAACAAGGAGGAAGATCCCGTGTTTTACTGCGGGGACGTTCTACTACCTGCGGATTATCGCTTCAATAACAAGCGTGTCAACAAGACCAACAACAAAGGTGCATCTTTTGGGCCGTTCTTTTTTTTTTATTTAATGAAATTACGTTTGTATTCTAACTGTAAAACACGTAATTTTTGGCTGGTTTTATTGTCAAAGATAATATAAAAGAGGGTTTACACATCATATATAGAGCAGAGTGATCCCCAACCTTTTTGGGCCCGCTGACTGTTTCTTAATGACACTTTTTTAATTTCTGTATAGAAATGTTTTGTTATGAAAAGACTTTTCCCTGATCCTAATAATGTCTCATTTTATTTGACGAGGTTTTACTGTACAGTGTGACCCCAGGATGTGGATGTAATTGGTGCATCAAGAGTGTCCCAAAGTCAAAATGTCCCTAAGTTGAGTCTCATTTTTGCTTAGACTTACATTAAATAATTTTTAATTGGTGTTTTATGGACAAAATACACACGATAATTCCATGAAAATAAAAATTGTCTCCCAATTTAAACTGATTCCAATCAATATATTTCAACACAATATGGACATTTGATGAATTGAATACTGACACCTCTGTACAGTAAATAGAAATGTTGGCATTCACTGTAAAAAGAACATTCAAGTGAAAAAGAGAGAAGGAAGTCCCTTAATCTATGCTGGAGGTAATTTTTTAAATTAGCAAAATGGATGGTGAATTGGTAAGAGAAATGCCCAAGAACTTTTCTTACATCAATTTTAGGGTTGGAAATAACTGTTTCTTGTAATTTGGCCTGAAGTGTATTTGCAATTTTATCTCAACATGTCCCTATGTTGAGTCATTGTCCTCATGTCTTGCCTTTTTTATTATTTTTTTCATGGGGAAATAAGTGCACGTATGTTGAATTGTCCACATGTTGAGGTGTCCGCATGTGTGGATCTCACTGTATATTTTTTGACTGTCCACAGGAGGCCGTATTCAAGACCAAGACCATAAAAAGAAAGGAAAGAACAAACTCGATCCCGCGTCTTTGTCTGTATCAGCTGAAGATGACCACGTCATCAAGAACCATGAACGCTGTAAAAGTGGAAGTGGTGGAAATTTGTTGACACTAGCCAACAGTGTATTAAAAATGCATCATAATCATCAACAGCCATCAGCAGCAGTGATTGACGTTAGACGGTCTTCTTCAACATCTTCGTCATCCTCTGAACAGGACCAACGAAGTCCTGTTGGTGTCACTGTTCACAGTAAGCGAAAAACTTTGCCTCAACAACAACAACAACATGAACAAAAACAATCGCAGCCAAAACAGCAACAACTTGAAGTGCAATCCACCATGAATATGGATGCGTTTTTGGGAGAGGATTTGAATGCAAGGATGGATTTAGCTAGAAGATGTTTGCCAAAACTTGTCAAGGTAATTCTCATCCAATATTTTTAATCACTTTTCAGAAGAGAAATAATCGTTTCCATGTTTGGAAATGTATGAGGGATATGGTTTAGAAATTGTGTAGAGTCGTTTTTGGGAGAGGATTTGAAAGCAAGGGTGGATTTAGCCAGAAGATGTTTGCCAAAACTTGTCAAGGTCATTTTCATCCTCTCTTTTCAACACCTTATTTTCAGAAGAGAAATCATTTTTCTATGTTATTTTGAAATGTATGAGGGATATGGTTTATAAATTGTGTAGAGTCTTTTTCATGGATGAAGAGTTAAATAAATTTAAATAAATTCCATTGTAGCAATTTGTCAGAATGTATTTGCAAAGGTCCCACCAGGAAACACTGCAGACATGATGCTAAAATATATTCCTTACAACAACTGTTCAATGTACATTATAAGACATTTTCAAGAAAAATTATTGCAAAGTTTCAAGTTTCATTATAGGAGGTTTTCAAGATTCATTAAAACAAATTCTCAAAATTCATTTTACATGACATTTTCAAGATTCCATTACATACATTTTCAAGATTCAATAAAGCAAATTTTGAAGATTCATTATATCAGATTTTCAAGATTCATTGTAAATACAAATTTTCAAATTTCAATTTAAAATTTTCAAGATTCAATTAAAAATTTTCAAGATTCAATTTAAAATTTTAAAGATTCAATTTAAAATTTTAAAGATTCAATTAAAATTTTTCAAGATTCAATTGCAAAATTTCAAGATTCCTTAGAGAAAATTTTCAAGCTTTTAAACAAAACTTATTTTCCAAATTTTTTTTCTCAAAACTACAGTTGAAATTTGCAACATCAAACCTCTCAGTCAAAAACCTTCCTAATTTTGTTCTACAATTCATCCTTGGCCAGTTACCTTAATATTGCAAAGCAATTGGAACCCCTAACTGTGCTCAAAATTTTTTTGTGGGTAAAACCTCCCTTCATAGTCCCAGGGGCTCAGACAAGCCCAGATAACATGCACATTTTTAAACTGTCAACAAATCCATCTTATAGAGAAGTGCAATTGGAACATTGTAAATTATTTTAACCTGATGCCACAGAATTCAAGTGCTCTTATTCATGATTGAATCTTACACCTGTGAAAGAGACCATCACAAAGACTCCAACCAGTACATAATAGTCCATGTTTTTTGTTGTTGTTGCAAATTAATCTCTTCTGGAGCCAAAAATAATAGCCTCATCCAAAATGCCATCAAGAATAGTTGAGTAATTTTGTTCAGAATTCATGTACATATCAGCTGTATTTTTAGAACACTGCATTGAAAATTTAAAAAATTTTTCTTTCAGGCATTGGAGCAACTGTCTGAAGAGGAAACCAAGGCCATTGGAACTTCAGGCACTGCTGGTAGAATCAAGTACAAAAAGCGCACCATTTTCAAGCACGTCTTCTTGGTAAATTAAATCGTCTTTATTGAAGATGCTTTAGAATATTTTATGAAACCCTATATACTCATAAATTAAGACGATATACTATGCAGAAATGTGTCTGTTTTGAAAAGAAGAAAAAAACATTATGTTTTCAAATAATTGAATGTCACGCATGATAGTTCAGTCAAATTTGAATCCATCAGCAAGAAAAAGATTCAAAAATTACTTGGCATATAATTTTAACAAAATTCCCGCATATTAACTTGAAAAATAATATAAAAAATGTATTGGTTAGTGTTACTGATGAGGTAAGGTATTGAAGACTACTTTCTCTCACAAGGATAATAATTTAAAACACTTTCCAGTAAGTGATTTGATGAAGTTTTGATTGAAGGGCATTTATTCCTGTAAATGCGAGTTTTCCTCTATTTTAATGTTTCTCAAGACAAACTTGCTTAAAAAAAATTGAAATGTCAGCTCCAAAGTGTTTTTATTTACACTAAGTTCAGTTTTATGTCGTTTTTAGCGAAATCTTTTGAAAGGAGAGGTGTTGGAATTTGTAATTGTAATTTTAAAATTCAAATTTTAAAATATTGTATAAGAATTCCAAGCCATTTTAAAATTCCAAGCGTTTGGGTTGAATGGTATGATGCATTTTAAAATCGAAATTTCAGCTCCAAAGGTTTTTCTATTTACATTTTTTCAAAAATCTATAAACATTTTTTGAAAAATCTATAACCATTTTTTCAAAAATCTATAAACATTTTTTCAAAAATCTATAAACATTTTTTCAAAAATCTATAAACATTTATTGCATAAAGTTTAATTCCATGTTATTTTTTGAAAAAAAAGTTGTTGAAATGGTAATTTGGAAAATTAAAATTTCAAGCGTTTGGACTGAATAACTAGAGATGATGAAAAAAATAACCATAATTTTCAAACGCAAAAATGAGGATTTGTTCAATAGAAATTGACCAAAAATATCATTCACGCATGAGTCATGAGTTCGTGACATACTTGCACCCAATTTTTCAAAAATCGTACCTTCAAAATTTTTGCCAACCTGTTTTTTGTTTTGCCCCAATCTCTTGAGGGAAGAAAAGTTGCATATATATATTTTTTTTAATATACTGTACTTTAATAGAAAGCCGTGTTTCCCGGATCAACGCGATCCGTGGGAGAAAAGCTGTGGAATTATTTGATGAAGCTGCAGACTGAGGCCAACAGCCACAGTTTCGTGGAAAACAAGTTCAACAGAAGGATTCGGAAAACTTTTGGCATGAGTATCAAGAAAGATAATAAACCGGAAGGAATAAAGGAGCTTCCGGAAGATCCGAACACTGAAAAAGACAGTGCTGGTGATGGGAATTCGAGCGACCATCATTGGAATTGCTGGATGTCTGGTTCGTACCTAGAGGGTGACCTGGCTTCTTTCTTTCAACCCGCGCTGGATGCTGATGACCTCTGTCGGTTTTTGTCGGTAAGATTATTTTTTTTTGTTATATACAGTGAGACCCTGAGATGCGGTCATAATTGGTGCACCAAGAGTGTCCCTAAGTCAAAAATGTTCCTAAGTTGAGTCTCATTTTCCTTCAGACTTACATGATATAATTTTTAATTGGTGTTTTATGGACAAAATACTCACCATAATTCCATGAATAATAACTGTTTCTTGTAATTTGGCCTGAAATGTAATTGCAATTTTATCACAAAATGTCCCTATGTTGAGTCAGTGTCCTCACATCTGGCCTTTTTATTAATTATTTATTAGAAAATAAGTGTCCCTTATGTTGCATTGTCTGCAGGTTGAGGTGTATTTCAACGCATTTAAATAAATATTTAAAAAAATGCAAAAGAAGTTCTTATTGCTATTTCAAATTTTGTCAGGAAACAAATACAAAGTTTTACAAGAAGAAAGTATCCTCACAGGCTCTCTCCACCTGAAATAGTGTGGGCCCCCAACTTTTTGATTTTCACTGTTATCTCATAGATGTCGCCTGAAGCTTCTTGCTTTGATTTAAAAATCTAAATCAATATGTTCCCAAGGACCAATGGTCTGGAGGAAATTTTCTTCAGCATAATAAATTGATCAAAAGTTGCAATGAAATCTGTTATCTTGATCTGAAATTTTGGATAGACAACAGCAGTATTGTAATTATCTGTTGAAAAATGAAAGTTGGCTCTTCTCCAAATAATGCTTCACAAAAATTTTCACCTGCTGAAATTAATTATTTCAATTTTTTACTCTGAGAAACATTTGTTATTATTCAAGCACACCTTTCTAATTTTGTGAAGATTTTCCAGTATTGTTGCATCATTGGTTCTTGACTTAATACAGTATTTAAAAAAGCAGAATATTTTTAAATATCTGCCATACAGTCAAGAAAATTTTCTGAGTTTGCAAAAGATTTATGAAACTTTTCCAGTCTGCATGCCCAAAAAGGTTGGGAACACTGATCTAAGTTATGGTTATATGTTCGGTCTGGTTTAAAAATTATGTTGTAGCTTTATTTCAACCTGTGCTGAATGCCTAAAATTTTGTACACAGCATAATTATGTTTGTCAGATTTCAACATTTGAATATATCTTCGTGAAGGATTTTGCTTCTTACTTGATATTCTGCACTGTGAATTGCTCAATTTGTTTTCAGTTATTTGTTTCTGGAGACCAGGAAGAGAATGAGGAGCAAGAAAATGACCCAGCAAGAAACACAATCAGTGATGAGGAATTCCAAGAGTTGTTGCTTTGCAGTTATGCTTGTGCTTCTGGTGTGCAAGACACTACAAATAATGCATCACCAAGAGAATCAAATGGGACTCTTGATGACAATGGTGCAAAAAATGCCATCAATGAAATTGATGCTTGTGAATTGCAAAAGCAGGAAGAAGAAATACTGTTACATGGTGTGCGACCCATTCTGGCTGCTGCTGTAAGTAGTCCATTTTTTGTGTACTGTACACTTTCACTATGTATTTTTTAAACATGAAAAAAGTTACTGGAATGCTTTACCAATAAAGTCAACATATAGATTTGGTATTAAATGAAATTATTGCCACCAAAAATTGCATTAGAGCACAGCAAAACATTGTAATTATGATGGTCATTTCTTTTTCAAATGAGGGCTGTATTTTAAAATATGCAATTTTAAGTGGAGATTTTTTAAATGTAATTTGTAAAAATTTGTGTTTATATTTTGAACTACTGTACAGCAATATATTGTAATTTTTTGCCACTAAAAAAGCTGCTCTTTGCTTTCCCAAAAACGGCTGGATTAAAAAATATGCAAGTTTTATTGAGATCTTTCACATACTTTTTGAATTTGTGTTCATATTTTAAAATCCAGCAACATATTATAATTTTAATGATTATTTGTTTTCTTAGAATGGGTTTGATTTCAAAATGTGTAATTTTGATTGTGGAGGAAACACCATATGTTTGTATAGGGATTATACCTTATTCACAGCCTATAAAATCCCTCTGTTTCAAATAAAATTAGAGTCCTTCAATTCTTTGTGTAATTGATGCAAAGATTTTTGGAATCATGGAAATTGTTGGGGTTGAGAATCAAGTACAGTAAACTTTTCTTTATGAACATGGATTCTGAAGGTTGTCTTATAAATGCATGTGGTGTTTGACCTACTGTAATATTTAACTAAGCAATACTTCCAACAGTGTGACAAACAATTAAAATTTGACCATGAGGAGGAATGAAACATAGAAAGGTTTAATAGTCTTTGAGAAAATAATTTGCAGTACATTAAAAAATTTAGAAATTTATTCCTTCATCCACAGTTTCATCGCAAACCAAGGGTAACTTGTGGATATCTTCAGTCTTGGATATTGCGAAATTGCCCACGTTTGCTGATTCCATTGAGCACAGCATTGTTGGATTGTGTCCTCACTGCTGCTCGCCAACTGGTCACGTCTTCCTTCATCCTTTTGTCTGATCATCACCAAGTTTCTGCAAAGGATGACATGATTGTGGTATGCATGAAATCCAAATCCCCTAGGAAAGATGTTTTGGTTCTGAATTTAAATCTCCATATAGAAGTTTTTCAAAATATTTTTTGCTTAATGCATGTATTGGATTTTTGATGGTGATTAAAATGTTAGTGAATTGAGCAGTTCATCATCAACTGGGGGATTGACTTTAGTGTACTTAACTGTACTTCAGCATGTAGTTCAATTTAATGTACTCTATAGTATGCTTTACACTGTGTTTATCTGTACTTTTATTTAATTGACTGTACTATGCTTTACTGTACTGTGTTTATCTATACTGTATTAACTTTTAATGTACTGTACTGTGCTTCACTGAACTTTACTTTCATTGAATCTACAGTACCATAGTCTGTACATCAATATAATGTACTCTGCTTCAGCGTACTGCACTTTAATTGAATATGCTATGACTTACTGCATTGTAATTTACTGTTTTTAACTTCGCTGTATTTTACTATAGTGCATTTTACTTCACTGTATTTCACTCTGCTGTATTTTAATTTATTCAATTTGCGTTACTTTTTTACTTTACTGTATTTTACTTTACTGTAATTTACTTCAGTGTATTTCACTTTGCTGTATTTTACTTTACTGTAATTTACTTCAGTGTATTTCACTTTGCTGTATTTTACTTTACTGTATTTCCCTTTGCTGTATTTTACTTTGCTGTATTTTACTTCACTGTAATTCACTTTGCTGTATTTTACTTTTGTTTATTTTGCTTCACTGTATTTTTCTTTATTGTATTTTACTGTACTTGACTTTTTACTTTACTGTATTTTACTTGACTTTTTACTTCACTGTATTTTACTTCAGTGTATTTTACTTAACTTTTTACTATACTGTATTTTACTTAACTTTTTACTATACTGTATTTTACTTAACTTTTTACTATACTGTATTTTACTTAAATTTTTACTATACTGTATTTTACTTAAATTTTTACTATACTGTATTTTACTTAACTTATTACAGTACTATACTATATTTTACCTAACTTTTTACTACTGTATACTGTATTTTACTTAAATTATTACTATACTGTATTTTACTTAACTTTTTACTAGACAGTGTTTTACTCAACTTTTTACTATACTGTATTTTACTTAACTTTTTACTATACTGTATTTTACTTAACTTTTTACAATACTGTATTTTACTTAATTTTTTTACTATACTGTATTTTACTCAACTTTTTACTATACTGTATTTTACTTAACTTTTTACTATCCTGTATTTTACTCCACTGTATTTTACTTTGGGATCCCTCTTGCAGGCGAACAGGTTGCCAGTCCTCGTGGACCATAGAACCAACAAAAGAGGTCCAAACGACCCAAATAAAGGATCATCAAAGAATAAAAACAGCAGCAGCTGCAGCACAAAAATTCCATCCACATTCCAAGACAAAGTTGGCGACTCAGACTTGGAATTGAGTCTTTCCAGACTCTGGCTCCTGTCTTCTTCCATCCCGGGCATTTACCTTCGACCCCCGATGAGCCCTCGACACAATAAATCATCTGAATCCTGTCCTTCGGTAAACAGCCACAAAAACCACGCCAACAATGATATTGACGACGTGGACGAAGATGAAAGCAGGACGAATAATGTTTCGAAACGAAACCGGGATCGTCGAGGCAGCAATAGCAGCATGGGCAGCAGCAAGACCGGGAAATCTGCATCATCAGGCTCATCGGCGACTGCTTTGGCACTGAAAAGTGAATTGGCATCCGTGCTTTGGAATGCGTTGCCGGGACACGTCGTTTACCAGCAGCAGCCTGTGCTGGCACATGATGTTTTGCTGCACCAGCCAAATGTCAAGAAGGTATACAGTATTCCTCTGTATCCATTTTTTAAAATCTAATAAATTGCGATAATCCCAAATAAGTTTTTTTTTTTAAGTTCAGCTCTGATGGCGGTGGAATGCAGGGTATATAGAAAAGAAGATGTTTGCGTGATGCAATAACCAGTACAGTCAAACCCCGATAAGACGCCACCATTTGTCCAGAGCAATTTTGGCGGTTTAAAGGGGTTGGCGGTTTATCAAATATTTCATTTCAAGTCATTTGATCAAAAATACTTGATTTTCCTTCAAAAGTAATGGAAATACAAGTTTTCCAGAAACTTCAGTAATTTTCCAAAGAGTATTGCTGTGATTTATGCATTACTCCTTCAGAAAATTAATTTTTCTGTATCAATTTATTCAAATTTTAAAATTACCGTATTTACTCAAGTACCACACACCCTTGAGTAAGGCGTGCACAGGGGTTTTTCACTTGAAAATGTTGCAAAAATTGTATCCCTGAGTAAGACGCGCACCCCAATTTTTAGTGAACCTAAGACCATACAATTTCAATAATAAAAACAAAAAATTTGACATTAGGCGTGAATTGAACAAAAATCTGATTAATTTTCAACTTTTTCAATACAAAAATGTTTTCTTTTTATATTTGTTCAAACTTTCTCTATTGTAATTAAGTGTAATGCAAACATAACTTCCTGAAACTTCTTGAAAATTTTGTACCCGCTTATGACGCGCACCCCTTTTTTTCTTCTGAAATTTGGGAAAAAAGGTGCGCGTGGTACTTGAGTAAATACAGTAGGTCTATATATTGTTCTAAGTTTTTGAAAAATGAAGATTGTTATTTTGTTTTCTTCTTACCAATACAAGATCCTGGAGAGAAAATATAATTGTACCCCAATGTTGGCGTTGTAACAAAGACAAAACTAATACAAAACAGCACTTTTGTTTCATCACTAATGCTGGCGGATGGCAGTTGGCATCTTATCAAGGTTTTCTACTGCATTTAGTATTGAGGAGATTTGTTTCATTCAAAATGTTGGCAGTTGCCAAGGGTGGCACTTTATCAGGGGGTTTCTTAACAGGGTTTGACTGTATATTCATACTGCATTAATATATACTGGCTACTGAATGGATGTGTCCTGTGATGATGAGAAACTCAGGCGTCCAAAGGAGTTAAAATATTGTATATATGCATCAGAATATTCATATATATCAGTTTTGCTCCTTATGTTCCTTCCTGTCTTTGAAGGATAAGATTTTGTTCTTGAATGTGTTTTTTTTGTTCATTTCTCTCCTGCAGCGCTGCAAAACTGCAAAAAGTATTGTGTTCAATCAGGACTATTTTTTGTTACAGTTGGTTTGTTCTCCACTTCAGAGCCAGGCCTCCTGGGAACTTGTCTATGACTCTCTCAGAGATGGAGATGATCATCTAACGTGAGTATACTGCCTATTTTTATGTTTCTTCCTATACAGTATTATACATTTTTACATTAAAGTCATGCTGTTTTTTTTAGGTCTAATTCATGTAAAAGATGCATTATTGTAATGATACATTTTTAAAGATCAAAATGGCTTTATAATACTGTATTAACATTCTTTTCAAGTAGGTTCTATATGTATCAAAGATTATCCTTCAATATTGATGCAACAATTTTCTTATAAAAATATTATTCAGGTCTGAATGATTTTGTTGCAACAATTAAAGCAAGACTCTACTTGTACTCAAGACAGGATACAGACAAATGGAGACAGGAAATTTGAGACAGAGACAATTTGAGACACGGTCAATTCAAGATTGGGACAATTCAAGGCAGGGACAATTTGAGACAGGAACAAATTGAGGCAGCCCCAACTGCAGATTCCTAATGATCAGCTATTCATGCAACTAATTTGAAGTGAAAAATATTACATAATTCATGAGGTGCTGTTTCTTATCATTCTTCCTGATAAATTCTGTCTTTATGCTGAAATTGTTGGGATGCACTGTCTGTAACTTGAGTCAGTGTCCACATGTTGGGCCATTTTTTCCTGTTTTTTTCTGGACAAGTTAGTGTCCCTGTGTGAAATTGTCTTATGTGAAACAAAATTGCACAACTTTTCACCTAACAGTGCAATTTTTGCTCATTTTTCCACCTTGAACATGAGATGTTTGAGAGATACACAGTGAAGTAATTTAGCTATAAGCAGTCTCAGTCTCAAATTCTCAAAATATATCTGTATCATCAATTTGCCCCTGTCTCAAAAAGTTTCAGTCTCAATTGGTCCCTGTCTCAAATTATCCCTGTCTCCAAAAGTGTATCTCTCAATTCGGTCCTGTATCAAATTGTCTGTCTCAATTTGGCCCTGTCTCAATTTGGCCTTGTCTCAAATTGACCCTGTCTCAAATTGGCCTTGTCTCAAATTGACCCTGTCTCAACTTGTCCAAGATCCACTATATAGACGTGTGCTGAAGATTACACCTGAGTCTTAACCTCTTGATACAGTAACACAAATTTCTATGCAGATATATTTTTCCAGATGTTCAAATGCTTTTGTTAATTGAAACCAAAGGATCTACTTCTGCCAAATATAGGTATCAGTGTCCATATTCTTATGCATATATTCTTTCCATCATCAGGTTCCTTGAGAAGATGACAGGACAGAAGAAAGGACTGCCTTTTGCCAAATCCACTCATCCTGGCTCAGCATCAGCCCCTTCCCTCACCCTTGTATTTGCCGAGTCGGATTACACTGTTTGTGTATGTTCTGACGTCGAATGGCGAGAAGCCGGAAGTCCCTGGGGCGGCCCTGACTCAGCTGCTCTGCTTCTGGCGCCGGACTTCCGCCTCCTGACTGTTGGCGCCTGTAGAACCCTGTCATTCAATGCCACCATCGACGGCTATCCAAAGGTGCTTTTTTTAATTTCTGAAGATGTTACCTATACATAAGAAGTATAAATCTTGTGATTTTAAATGGATAATTAGAAGAGAACAAAAAATACGGCATTAATTCGATCTTCCTCTTTATCTTTTCATTCTGGTTATTTTTTTCATCACTGATGGGATATGTTTATATTTTCAGTTTTATTGATGAGAATTTTGTGGGGTGTATGGAAGTACTTGAAAATGAGGCCAGTGGTTTTCATTCCTCTTGGTCTATTTTTAAAAATATTGCATTATTCATCAAGTTTGACAAGAGCGTGTTACCATATTATTCTGCAATTTTTAAAAAATATTTTGTGTGTTTCGCACCCTCAAAAAAATTTGATTATGTTTGAATGAATAATTTAAGAGACTAGTAGAATGTATAAAAATACAATGCAGGTGAACTCTCTCTCTCTCTCTCTACAACAATCTTGTCTGCAACGATTTTTCTCTGGATAACGATTTCTTTCAGATCCCATAAATTTATTTCCTTATGTTCTATCTAGGGGTTCACTACAATGAAATCCGCTCTATAGCGCATTTATTTCTGGTCCATTGAATTTTGTTGTAGAGAAAGTCCACTAATTTTTATGCTCAAATCCAACCACTGATGGGCAGATGAAAATGTAAAAAAACGCGGTTCCAATTCAAATCTTTTATATTTTTAAAATTCAAAATTCTTTGTTTTTTGCAATTTCAAATTCTTTATTTTTTGCAATTTCAAATTCTTTGTTTTTTGCAATTTCAAATTTGACACTTTTTTCAGTTTCAGATATATTGTTTCAAATTAGAATTTTAAATTTCAGGTGTCATAATTTCATCATTTTAAAATTCCAGATTTTATGATCTTCCAATTTCAAACTTTATAATTTTTCATTTTCAAATTTTAGCAATCATCACATACAGTGAAATAAATTGATTTTGATGCCAGCACTTCATGAAAAACTGGCGGTTTGTGCATTTTACGTGAGATCGATTTTTCTAAACAAAAAAAAGTATTTAAAAAGTATATTAGCAGGCGCATGATGCTGATACTATCAAAGAAATAAGGCGTTGATTTCGAATTTTTGTGTTTTTTGTTCATTTAAAAAGGGCTTGACGGTAATTGAGCAGCCGTTGGAGCAGCTGGTCCAGCAGCCATCGGCGATTATCGTTCCCGCATCCAAGAGAACCGGCATGCAAATAATGAATGCAGTCATCCACATCCCGGGTCCGCATTTCAGAGTTTTGCAATATCGGAAAATCCCGCTGCTCATCCGCAGGGTCGTTGGCATTCGCGTCATGTCGCAACAGTTCTGATCTTTAGCCCAGAAAATCCTCTTCCTTTCTTTTTTTTTTTTTGGGTGTTTGTGTCACCATGCGCTGAATTTTGTTTATTTCATGATTGATTCGGTTCTTATTCGACACAGTACAGAGTGTATATACATTTTTTTTTTGTAATTGGTGAACATTTCAATTATCCTCGCAGCCAATGATTACTGTACGAATAATTTAGTCTGCAGCAACGAATGACGTAATACCATAATCTAAGCTTAGCTTTTCGGCTCTTATCGTCAAGTCCAATCGCCCATATACATATGTCATAACCCTGCTTCAATCATATGCATGGAATCTAATCTAATTATCGTAAAAACCGTGGAAAAACCTTTGTGCATTTTTGTATTAACTTTGGTTTATATTGGTCGCGAAAAACTAAGTGAGGCAATAGAAGGTTGAACGCGTGAGGGATTTTAATCAATCAGAAATACTTTTTTTGTGTTACTCCAGCGTTTATTGCTGACGCATTAACTCGTATGTCCACTTATGCACGAGAGATTTCAATAATGAAATCGCTTTTCTTATAACGCATCCTTTATTTGTTTCAAAATCTTTGAAATTATTTTGAAAGTTTAAATGTGAAGAAGCGAGTTCCCTGGATATTTCCTGAAATGCACTGTTGATTTACAATTTCGCGATTATCTGAACTTGTAGTAAAATTACTTTGTTTTGTATCTGTCAATTGCACGGTGTAGTACTGTATTTCCTTTATGCTTTTTTAAAACTCAAGAGAAGCGCTTTACTTAAAAAAGCATACAAGCAGTGGCCTTCCATTCAGTTCAGGTCTTCTTAGGCAAATGAACAGTAAACAAGCTCAGACTTGCTCCAGGGTTTCAGGATAATCAGGACATACAATTCCATAGAAATAAACCGTACATTCGTCCAGATCAATAAGGAATCTTATTCATTTCCAGATTTACACGTAATAACAGAGTTGGGCAACATGGGAACTATATATTATGATAAAAGATTTGGAATGTAAG